CCTGGGCAGGTGCAAAGCTGCCCGGGACCATACAGGCTGTCGCCAGCGCCGTGCGCATGCGCGGGTGCTGGCGCGGGAAAAGTAACCCTTTTACCCGGGAGTTGCCTATATAAGAGGCTGCGAGGCGTTTGGGCGAGGCTGAAGCCATCTTCCTGTAAGCTGAACGCTGAATAAATGAAACTGAGAACTCCAGCTGCTTCTCGTGTCTGTTTTCCCGCCACGGACTCAACAGAGATCATGGTGATTGGTTTCAGTCAGTTGGTTTCTTAACCACCTTATCCCCAAATGAGGAATTAGACACAGAGGTAGTCCTCGATATACAATAAAAATTGACCGTAAAATTTCTGTCGCTAAGCAAGGTAGTTGTTAAGTGAGTTGTGCCTCATTTCACGACCTTTACTGCCAAAGTTGTTAAGAAAATCACTCTGGTTGTTAAGTGAATCATGCAGTCATTAAGTGGATCTGGTTTCCCCCATTGACTTTGTTTGTCGGAAGCCAGCTAGGAAGGTTATAAATAGTGATCACATGACTCCGGTACAGTGCAACTGTCATAAGTACATGCCAGTTGCCAAGCCCCTGAATTTTGATCATGCTGCAATGGTTGTGTGGAAAATGGTCATAAATCACTTTTTTCAGTGCTATTGTAACTTCAAATGGTCACCAAAGTAATGGTTGCAAGTGGAGGACTACTTTTATCTGTGGTTGGCTGGGGAAAATTATTTTATTATTGAAATAATTTGAAAAAAGTTCTGAGAAGCTCTTAACCAGGAAATGAAAGTGAAATATCTATGATTATAACAACAATTTCAATTGCATGTTTCTTTACCTAGCAATTTGCAGTGTAAAAGCATCAATTCTTCACCGCTCAGCCTTCCTTAGGGTCAGACTCTCAGAGTCAGCAGTGTTCCAATATCTCAGGGGCTGCCACAAAGAAGAGGAAGTCAAATTATTCTCCAAAGCGCCTGAAGGCAGGATAAGAAGCAATGGGTGGAAACTAACCAAAGAGAGAAGCACCCTAGAACTAAGGAGAAACTTCCTGACAGTTAGAACAATTAACCAGTGGAACAAACTGCCTCCAGAAGTGGTGAATGCTCCAACACTGGAAGTTTTAAAGAAGAGACTGGACAGCCATTTGTCTGAAATGGTATAAGGTTTCCTGCCTGAGCAGGGGGTTGGACTAGATGACCTCCAAGGTCCCTTCCAACTTTATTATTATTATTATTATTATTATTATTATTACTACTACTACTACTACTACTACTACTACTACTACTACTACTACTACTACTACTGGGAAAACCATAGCTTTAACTGTACAGACCTTTGTCAGAAAGGTCTCTGCTTATTAGTATGCTGTCTAGTTAGATGTGATAGTTTTACCATTTCAGCATTTCCATTATGTTGATTTTTCCTCTACTTTCTGATCTATGATTGTGACCAAGTTTTGTGATTTTTTTTTTTTTTGGAAAGTCCACCCAAACCTATGATGATCAGTCCACTGAAGGAGTGACCAGCCTGTGTTTGGATATGTCTTAAAGCAGTGGTTCTCAACCTTTTTAATGCCGTGACCCCCAACTGGTCGTAAGTTGAGGACTACTCAACCGGTCGTAAGTCAAGGACTACTCAACTGGTGCAGCACCGTTTGCAGAATGGGACTTTTGGCGGGCTCAGCAGGGCATAGACAGCCTGGACAATTCCTATTGGCTTTTGAAAGCCAATAGAATTAGACTCTATTCAAGAGAGTCTATTCTATTGGCTTTCAAAAGCCAATAGAATAAAAGGGAGTAGCACAGCTAAGGAAAAGGGGGAAAAAATGGCGGACTGCGTTGTTTGGCAACCCCCATGAAATAGTCTTTTGACCCCAAATGGGATCCCGACCCACAGGTTGAGAACCACTGTCTTAAAGAATACTATCCTATGCCAACTAGGAAAGATCTAAAATTTAAATGATCTTCTAACACTTAATAATGGATTCAACTTTGTGACAGTTCTGCTGGTTAATTAACACTATTCCTATTGGTTTCTATTATGGTAATACAAAAGAGGCTGTGTTTCCTTTGATTCCGGCTCCCTCTTTGATAAGGAGACTCATTTATTCTTATCAGGGCCAGAGACAGATTTGATTGTAATTGTATTTTCAAAACATGCAGCCCAGAAACCCTCAGGGTACAGCCACAATGGTGCCTTTGTCCCCTGCCAGAAATCTCTTTTGTGCTTAGCAAAATAACTGGACGAGCAGCGCCCTCTCCAGCAAGTTAATCCAGAAAAGTTTTGTTCTGGATTAGGACTGATTCCAGAGGAAGAACACATGGACATGGAGATTAAAGCCAGGCTCCCAAGTCATGCTAAACCCAAAAAACAAGTTTACAAACGCCATGTCTACATCATAAATCTGAAACAAAAGAGATGAGTTCACACACTATGCTGATCCACAAACCATCCAACTTGGCCAAGTCTAGCATGTTGTCAGAGCCCAGCTTAATGCTGTAATCTTGCCTATGTCTGCTCTGATGTACATTTCACACATTCAGTGGGACTTCCTTTGCAAGCAAGTTTATCTAAGAGTTTAGCTGAATTATTTTGACCCCAAGACTGTCCTAAACTGAAGAATTGGGGATTTCAGGATCACATTCAATTTGTCTTTCTCCCTTAGATATAGTAAGCAGTTGATCTGAATCTTACGGTAAAAGCCCATATTACTAGGAAACGGGGGAGGATCCCCCCAAAATAAACCACTTAAGAATGTGGTGCAAAAAGGACCTCATGTATCCATCTTTTGTGGTCCTCAGAGTATTTCAACAGAGAGGGAAAAAATGGGGCCCTATATCACATTTTTGGAAAGCTTTGCAAGACAAAACAATCTCAAATACTTAAGGTGCCCACTATGCCTATTAAAAGTCCTCAAGTACAGGTAGTCAAAGTAGAACCATTCATTTAGTGAGCGTTCAAAGTTGCATCGGCGCAGTGGTTAGGCCACACTTGGAATACTGCATCCAGTTTTGGTCACCACGATGTAAAAAAGATGTTGAAAGAGTACAGAGTACAGAGAAGAGCAACAAAGATGATCAGGGGACTGGAGGCTAAAACATATAAGGAACGGTTGCTGGAATTGGGTATGTCTACTTTAATGAAGAGAAAGACGACGGGTGATGTTATGTCCCGAGCCTTGCAAACGGGCTCAGGGCGTTTGCAGGCAGTCCCGGGCAGGTGCAAGCTGCCCGGGACCAGACAGGCTGTCGCCAGCGCCTGTGCGCATGCGCGGGTGCTGGCGCGGAAAAAGTAACACAATTACCCAGGAACTGCCTATATAAGAGGCTAGGAGCTTTTGGGCGTTGCTGAAGCCTTCACTTGTAAGCTGAACACAGAATAAAAGGAAACCTGAGAACTACAACTGCTTCTCGCGTCTGCTTTTCGCCAAGGACTCAACAGGTGACATGATAGCAGTATTCCCATATCTCAGGGGTTCCCATAAAGAAGAGGGAGACAAGCTATTCTCCAAAGCTGCTGAAGGCAGGACAAGAAGCAATGGATGGAAACTAACCAAAGAGAGAAGCAACCTGGAACTAAGGAGAAACTTCCTGACAGTTAGAACAATTAACCAATGGAACAACCTGCCTCCAGAAGCGGTGAATGCTCCAACCCTGGAATTTTTTAAGAAGAGACTGAACAGCCATTTGTCTGAAATGGTATAGGGTTTCCTGCCTGAACAGGGGACTAGATGACCTCCAAGATCCCTTCCAACTTGATGATGATGATGATGCAATTTTTCAGGCTAACTCTGGCCATAGGAGTTTGATCCTGATCGGCTCAAAACTGACTCATCTTTCCATCCTTCCAAGGTCACTAAAATGAGGACCCAGATTGTTGGGCACAATATACTGACCTTGTAAACCACTCAGAGAGCAGTGTGAAGCACTATGGAGCGGTATATAAGTCTACATATTATTGCTATTGCTATGACGGCACTTTAAAAAAAGCGACCTATGGCCATTTTTCATACTTATGACCCTTGCAGCATTCCCATGGACACAGGGTCAAAATTTGGACACTTGGTAACTGGCATGTATTTGTGACGATTGAAGTTCTGGGGTTTTGTGATTAACTTTTACGACCTTCTGACAAGCAAAGTCAATGGGGAAGTCAGATTCACTTAATAACCGTGTTATTAACTTGATAACTGCTGTGAGCCACCTAACAACTGTACAAGACAGGTGGCAAAGTGGGGCAAAACTCACTTGACAACTGTCTTGCTTAGCATCGGAAATTTGGGGCTCAATTGTAGTTGTAAATCAAAGACTACTTGTAGCTTTCCAGAACAGGCCTTGGACTCACTGGTGGGAGATCCTCAGACTAATAAAGGTTGGATATTCGTGACCAAGGAAGAGTAGGAAATGACCAGAACAGCATCAAATTAGCTTCAGGCCAATTCCCAAGTTATGGAAAAACTTCTCCTGGTTATCCTTCCTTCTTATTTTCTTCTTTCTTCTTTTTCTAAAAAATATATATATTTTTATAGTCAGGGACACTTAATTAGACATGCAGGCATGTCTAATTAAATAATATAAATAATAATGTACAGGTTTGCCCAAAGAAGATCCTCACCCTTGGATAATAAGACCACTAAATCCAGGATCTGCACCAATCTTTCTGGATGACTGATTGCTCATTCTGTTCTAATAAACATAATTTAATTCCCATTGTGAATTTTTCCATAAAGCACTCAGCTCAAATATGTCACCTGTTTGGATCCCCAAGATGGATGGTGATGCAAAATAATATCATTGTGGTGATTTTAAATATATATGTTTTTAACCCTGATTGTTCTGTTTTGCCAACTTCCTACCATTTCTCAGGACGACAGGACATTTTTTTTTTGAAAGGATGCAACTTTGTGTTCCTACTGTACAGTTTCCAGCTCTCCCAGTCACTAGAGGGCGCTCACGAAGTTTGAAATATCTATTTTTTTTTTAAAAAAAAAGCAACCTGAAAGAACTATATTATAGTTCTTCCGTTGGCGAACTGCTTTTTTTTCCGTTGTTTTTTTTTTTTTACCCCTCCTTTCTTCTCTTCCTTTTTTTTGGGCAAAAGGAGAACAACAGCTAAAGGAGGCGAACAGAGAGAGGAAGAATGGTGGAGAGCCACGGAGAAAAGAAGTAGATGAAGGCTGAGATAAAAAAATTAGAGATAGAGAGAAGGGGAAAAAAAAAAGAAACACTAGAAAACAAGAGGAAAAAACAACTGGAATAAACTGACGGAGGAAGATCGATGGATGGCACGACAGAGACAGGTGGTGGGCAACATTTGATGGATTAATAGCAAAGGGATGTGCATTCAGAATCTTCCCAGCACTCCGAGCATCTCGGTGAGCAAAAGAAGATAGAGGGTGCAGAGAAACCGATCAAAGAAAGAAAGAGGGAGAGAAATGGGATAAAGAGAACAAAAGAGCCCAACTCAGAACCAACAGTCCGGAGAGAAACCTCCCGATTGTCTCCCCTCTCCATCCACCGCAGCTTTCCAACTCTCCAAACTTCTGACCTCATGTCAGGACGTGCCATTCGAGCCGAAACGAGGAGCAGGGCAAAAGATGACATCAAGAAAGTGATGGCTGCTATTGAGCATGTCCGGAGATGGTGAGCACAATTTGGGGATGGGGGCAGCCAGGGAAGACTTTGGTGAGAAACTGCAGCTTATCCCCTGCAGATGTGACTGTTTAGAAGGGTTCTAAACTGGCACAGGATGGGTGAACTTTGACATTCGGAGGGGACCTCAAAGACCTGTTTTGGTGGGAAGCAACTGATGGTTGATTATGTTTCCACCATGTCTGCAGAGCATGCGTACTTCTAATCAGCGTTTCTCCACCGTGGCCACTTTAAGACAGGTGGACTTCAATTCCCAGAATTCCCCATGGCTGGTTTGGAAGGCTTGCTGAAAGCCAGATGTTTTTCTACCGCTTTGATGTCAGTGCTGTCTGCCCAGGGAAATGGGGTAGGATGGTTGCACTCCACACGAGCAGGCCAAAATGTTGCTGTATCTTGGAAGGGATCTCTGCAAATGGCTCCTCCTTGTCCCTTGCCCGCCCCGCCACCAGAACGGCTGATCCAAGTGTCTGATGTTATATTTTGGGTAATTTTGCCTTGCCCATGATCCTTCCCCTTTCCTCCTCAAATCGTCACATGAGGGGCGTTAGCTGAAGCCACTTAACAGTTTGAAGGCCAGCAGCTTTTCCGGTGGGGGAGTATAGTCTGATTGCTTTCTCTGTTTCTGTTGAATCTGAAATTATCAAAATCATTTGATTTTGTTTTCTGGTAAATGCAATCTCTGAACATCTCAGCTCAATACTGCTGTGGCTGTTAACGTGGTTAGTTATTGCACTTATCTCTCTACTTTTCTCTAAGGCAGTGTTTCTCAACCTTGACAATTTTAAGGCATGTGGACTTCAACTCCCAGAATTCCACAGCCAGTGCTGGCTGTGGAATTCTGGGAGTTGAAGTCCACATGCCTTAAAATTGTCAAGGTTGAGAAACACTGCTCTAAGGCAAGAGACCTCAAACTTGATAACTTTAAGACTTGTGGACTTTAACTGGCTGAGGAATTCTGGAAGTTGAAGTCCACAAGTCTTAAAGTTGCCAAGGTTGCAGACCTCTGCTCTAAGGGCTCAAAATGACACACACAAGAGCTTCCCCTAATTTTATCCCCAAAGTTGGCTGTTCGAGACTCAAGTACTGTGTAATGGGGCGATCTCCCATCCTTGCCCCAGTTCCTGCCAAGCTAGCAGTTTGAAAGCATGCAAATGCAAGTAAATAAATAGGTACCACTTTAGTGGGAAGGTACCTTGTGTTCTGTGCACCTTGGTGTGTGCCGGCCACATGATCACATAAGTGTCTTTGCATAACACTGGCTCCCTTGGCTAGGAAATGGAGATGAGCATTGCCCCCTATAGCAGGGGTGTCAAACTGCCAGCCCATGGGCCGGATGCGTCATCCGGAAGCCGCGCCCACCCCATTGCCGGTAATGGCAAAACCGTCCCGATACGTTGCACGACGTCACGTGATGTCGCGAGTTTGACATGTCTGCCCTAGAGTCAGATATGATTGGACAGGGAAAACCTTTATTATTAATAATAATAATAATAATACCAACAAGCAAGGGTAGTACCAATAGTAATAGGCTTCTTGGGTGCAATCCCAAAACAACTGGAGCACCACTTGAACACCATTGGCATTGACAAATTCCCTATTAGTTAATTGCAAAAGGCAGCCTTACTAGGAACTGCTTCCATTCTGCAACGATATCTGTAATACCATCAAACATCCACATCTGCCTATCCCAGATCCTGGGTAAGGACTCGATAGGTAGACAAAATGCCAAATCCAGTCTGAACATCTGGCTGACTGCGATGATCCATAATAATAATACTAAATTTGGAAGGGACCTTGGAGGTCATCTAGTCCAACCCCCTGCTCAGGCAGGAAACCCTATACCATTTCAGACAAATGGCTGTCCAATCTCTTCTTAAAAACTTTCAGTATTGGAGCATTTACTGCTTCTGGAGGCAGGTTGTTCCACTGATTAATTGTTCTCACTGTCAGGAAGTTTCTCCTTAGTTCTAGGTTGCTTCTCTCCTTGATTAGTTTCCACCCATTGCTTCTTGTCCTGCCTTCAGGCGCTTTGGAAAATAGCTTGACTCCCTCTTCTTTGTGGCAGCCCCTGAGATATTGGAACACTGCTATCATGTCCCCCCTCATCCTTCTCTTCATTAGACTAGACATACCCAATTCCAGCAACCGTTCCTTATATGTTTTAGCCTCCAGTCCCCTAATCATCCTTGTTCCTCTTCTCTGTACTCTTTCTAGAGTCTCAACATCTTTTTTATATCGTGGTGACCAAAACTAGATGCAGTATTCCAAGTGTGGCCTTACTAAGGCATTGTGAAGTGGTATTAATACTTCACATGATTTTTTAACCTTCAAATCAGAGAAGATTTTACTTTTTTGGTCAAACACATCCAAAGGTCACAAGTGGAGAGATCCTACAAGCCGTCCCATTTTATCCTGCCATTTTTCTCTTTCTAGGGAAAAGCGCTGGGTGACGGTGGGAGACACCTCTCTACGGATCTACAAGTGGGTCCCTATTATGGACCCTCGAGACGAGGTGAGAAAGAGGCTGGCTGGTTTCACATGAGGCCTTTGTCTTGAGCCCTTCTAGTTGCACTTATTTGCTTCCCTCTCTTCTGTTGCAGGAGAAAAGATGCCTGAGAGGTAGCAAAGAGCAGCAGCCCACCAAAGAGAGAAGGTTTTCTCGAAGCAGTTCTGCTCTGCTCATGTTGGACCTGAACGGTACATTTTGGGACAGGAAGGGGGAGGGAAGGATGTTTTTCTAGTTCTTAACAAGGGCCTTGTAAAATTTGGCATCTCAGGCCCTCCCTACACAGGATACAGGTAGGCCTTGACACAATAGACGCCCAGATTTGTGTTGCTAAGTGAGACAATTGTTAAATTTGTGCCCCATTTTATGATCTTTCTGGCCACAGTGAATCACTGCAGTCGTTAACAATATGGTTGTTAAGTGAATGTGACTTTGCTTGTCAGAAGGTCACAAAAGAAAATCACATGACCCCAGAACACTACAACTGACGTAAATACGAAGTTGCCAAGCGTCTGAATTTTTATCACGTGACTATGGGTGATGCTGCCGTGGTCGTAAGTGTGAAAAACAGTCATAAGTCACTTTTTTCAGTGCTTTGTAACTTTGAATGGTCACTAAATAAATGGTTCTAAGTCGAGGGGTACTTGTATTCCAGAGACTAAGAAAGGAGAGAAAATTCCATTTTTTAAAAAAAGACCAGTGTCGTAGTTCCGATGAGACCAGTAAAAACAGAACTCAAAGGCAAGAGATTTCCTTAAAGAACATATTTATTGGCTACAAAGTATCGGCAACATCAAAAGTGAAACCAAGACTGAAGTTCCCTCTCAAAGGTTACAATGTCCCAAAGTTGCATTTCCCACCCCAGTAATATGTCATAAATCACATTCCCCGGCAGGCGTTCTAACGGAAAGGGAAGTCTCAGACCGCCAAAACTCAGGCAGCAATGACCTTGGTTCCCACCAGACAATTTATTGTTTTGACTAAACTTAAAAGCACACATCCCCCCTCCCAACACTGTGGCAACCGAAACATTCCCAAAATATTTCTTTCTCTGGAACGGGGGTGCTGTTGTCCCACACAAGCCTGGCCAAAAAAAGGAAGTAAAATTGGGCTCACTTAACATTTGTATTGCTTGGTAACGGAAATTGTGCTCACAGGTCGAGGACCTCCTGTACATTCCAGCTTTACGGTTCTATGAAACCTTTGGTCCTTTGGATGTCACTGAATTACAACTTGCCTCACTCTTTGTCGCTTCATCTTTGAAATAATAGAAAATAAATGTAGCTCGGGTTTTATATAATAATAATAATAGTAATAATAATAATAATAATAATAATAATAATAATAATAATAATAATGATAAAGTTGGAAGGGACCTTGGAGGTCATCTAGTCCGACCCCCTGCTCAGGCAGGAAACCCTATACCATTTCAGACAAATGGCTGTCCAGTTTCTTCTTAAAAACGTCCAGTGTTGGCGCATTCACCGCTTCTGGAGGCAGGTTGTTCCACTGGTTAATTGTTCTAACTGTCAGGAAGTTTCTCCTTAGTTCTAGGTTGCTTCTCTCCTTGATCAGTTTCCATCCATTGCTTCTTGTCCTGCCTTCAGGCGCTTTGGAAAATAGCTTGACTGCCTCTTCTTTGGGGCAGCCCCTGAGATATTGGAACACTGCTATCCTCCTCCCCCCCTCATATTTTGGCAGTGGTTCGCTCTCCAAGCTTGTTTCAATATAGTTTCTGAACGTTTCATTACAAACTAGGTAACATCATCATCAGGATTTCCTTGTCCTGTTCTCCTTAGCTTATAAATGTCCCGTGGTCAGTTGGTCATGCGATTGGTTGTTCGTTTGGAGCTATATTTAAATTCTGAGCAGCTGATTGGTTCTCTTGTTGATTGGCACTTCGAATGGTCTGAATTCCTACATATTCATATGCTGGGTCTAGATCGGGGTTGGCAACTTTGGCTCTTTTAGGACTCATGGACTTTAACTCCCAGAATTCCTAAGCCAGCCATGCTGAGGGGAAAGGGAGAGGTTTCCATGCTGAGCTATGCTGGCTCAGGAATTCTGGGAGTTGAAGTCCATGACTCCTAAAAGAGCCAAGGTTGCCTACCCCTGGTCTAGATCAATATGCTTGTTAATTGCTCCTTTGGTAGAATACGAGGCCTCAATAAATTCACACGTGTGGCAGGTGTTGGCATGCCCAATGATTTTTGTTCCTTCCCAATCGTATTGGTGTTGGTTTTTTTTTATCAATGTGGTTTGAGCTTCATCCTTTTTCATTCCACATAGTGGTTCCAACAGCGGAGACCAAGACACTCATAGGACATCAATGGCACGCTGTCACTGAACCTGGAGTCTCCATGCACCCCTAGTGATAAAAAAAAAAAACCCTTCCCACTTTCCAGATACGGTTCTTCATGGTCCTGTTTCTGTTTTCCACCAGATGAGAACAGCAGCCAGAGTTCTCTTTCGGAGACGTCCCTGCTGAAAGGGGGTGACACAAGCCCCACCCCCACCCCGGATCGAAGCCAGACAGTGACTCCCACCCTCTTAGGAGAGTTGAAGACAGATGAGCAGCCCCCTTTGTTGGGGCAAGAGGGAGGTAAGCATCTGGGAAGAGATTTCTTGGCATTAAGCAACAGACCATGTTGTCTTGTATTGTGCCTGGCTGGATGGAGGAGGAGGAGGAGGAGGAGGAGGAGGGGGAGGAGGAGGAAGAGCAATGGGGAAAGGGGGAGGAGAAGGAGGACAGTTTCTCAGCTTATGCCCGTGGTGGCGAACCTGTGGCACACATGCCACAGGTGGCACGCACGCCGTCGCCCCAGTCCTAGGCCTTCAGCTGGGTTTTATAAAACCTTTTCGCTTTAGGCCTCTGCTGCTGTGTGCAAAAAAAAAAAAAAAGTTCTATCAATCAACTTCAACTTCTCAAGGGGGAAAAAAAAAGATCTCGCAAAGTTGGAATTGATTGATTGAACTTTTTAGTCCCACCCAGACTGCCGTTACCACCGCAGCCACACCCACCCAATGGGCCATGCCCACCCAATGGGCCATGTCCACCCGGCATCCGGCGATACCTAAGTGGGTTTTGGGTTGCAGTTTGGGCACTCAGTCTCTAAAAGGTTTGCCATCACTGGCCTATGCAGTTTGAAGATACACGGACTTCAACTCCCAGAATTCTCCAGCCTGGGAAGTTCTGGGAGTTGAAGTCCACTCATCTTCAAGTTGCCCAGGTTGACAAACTATAATGATATGTGGGAATGGCTGCCTTTGGGAGACAGGAGAAAGAGCCATGCAAAGGTTAGATTTGAGGCAGCTGAGCCTGCAGAACAAATGGGGCCGTTGGAAATATCCCAAAAGGGATCCTTCCTAGTTTCTTTCATTGTAAAGGCGAGGGGGGGAGAGATGTACTTTCAGACTGGCACGATTTTGTTAATGCAGGGGTGTCAAGCTAGTGGCCCACAGGCCGGATGCGTCACGTGCAGGCCATGCCCACCCCGGCTTCACAAAGGCAAAAAAAAGTCAGGATACATATCGTGACGTGATTGAGTTTGACACCCATGCGTTAATGTAGCCTTAGAGCACGGGTTCTCAACCTTGGCAACTTTAAGTCTTGTGGACTTCAACTCCCAGAATTGCTGGCTGAGGAATTCTGGGAGTTGAAGTCCACAAGTTTTAAAGTTGCCAAGGTTGAGAACCCCTGCCTTAGAGTTAGTATGTCTGGGCATGCTTCTTGTGTGGACTATCTTGCAAGGCGGATATAGAGTAGGGAGCATCTAGGGATAAAGAAGTAATCCTCAGCTTATGACCACAACTGAGCCCAACATTTCTGCTGTTAAGCGAAACATTTGTGAAGTCAGTTTTGCCCCACTTTACGACTCTTCTTGCCACAGTTATAAAGTGAATCACTGCAGTTGATAAGTTAGTAACCTGGTTGTTTAGGGAATCTGACTTCCTCATTGACTTTGCTTGTCAGAAGGTCGTAAAAGGGAATCACATGATCCTGGGACACTGCAAAGGTCATAAATATGAACCAATTGCCAAGCATCTGAATTTTGATCACGTGATCATGGGGATGCTGCAACGGTCGTAACTATCAAAAACGGTCATAGGTCACTTTTTTTTCGGTGCCGTTGTAACTTTGAACGGTCACTAAATGAACTGTTGTAAGTCGAGGGCTACCTGTAAGTCCTGGTGATTCGAGCAAGATTGAAGCTAGTGATCCATCCTGGCGGAGGCTGATCCAACAAGCCCCCAGGACCCCCTGCCTTGTCTGCACCCACTGACAGCAGCCATTCAGCCCCAAGCAGAAGCATGCTTTGAGGATCCATAAGGCTGAGCTCTGGAGGGCAGATGTAGATATTATCCCTTCAGTCATGTCCTAGCAACTCAGTGGGCCAGGTCTCTCCCTTTCTTCCGATCGTGCCCTATTTCTTTTGAGTTTTTTCTCGGCTCTGCCTGGTGTTAGCTTTGATGTTCCTTGACGGCCTGGTTTCCTTTTACAATAATTACCATTCCTTCTTTTTCTGAACTATTACTATCAGGCAGACGGTACAGGATAATAAAAAGAAAGACAAATAGGCTGAAAAAGAGTTTTTGTCCCAGAGCTGTAATCATATTAAATACTACTGTGCAGGGGTAGTCAACCTTGGCTCTTTTATGACTCGTGGACTTCAACTCCCAGACTTCCTGAGCCAGCTTAGCTGGCTCAGGAATTCTGGGAGTTGAAGTCCACGAGTCATAAAAGAGCCAAGGTTGACTACCCCTGGTATAGTGCAACATTGAAGTGCATTATTAGGGGCAGCACAATGGTGAATAGAATGTGAAGGATGTTTGTATATAATATATGTTCTTATTTGGTTTTTACTTGTGTGTAGGGTGCGCTGTGGACAGCACTTAATTTCATTGTGAGTTACACAATGATAATAAAGATTACTCTACTCTACTCTACTCTACTCTACTCTACTCTACTCTACTCTACTCTACTCTACTCTATTCTATTCACTCTTCCAAACATAATGGCTTTCTCCAGTGAATGCCCCTATATGATATGGCCGAAATGAGATCAGTTTTGTGATTTGGCCTTCTATTGACATGTCTAATATTATGCACTCCAATACTTGCTTGTTAGTCACCATTGTTGTCCAAGGAATATGCAGGCGCCTTCTCCAGCCCCATAGCTCAAATGATTTTCTTCCTGTCTTGCTTATTTAAAGCTCAACTTTTACAACCAAAGGTAGCTACGGGGAACAAAATAGACCAAACTAGCCTACATTTGGTTGCCAGGCTGATGCCCCTGCTTTTCCAAACTAGGCGAGCAGTAGACTCCAACCCCAGGCGTTTGGGGTAGTGTTGGCTCTGTTTGGCTTACTTAGTGCCCTCCCCATCAAAAACAACTTTTCAAACCTCAGCTGAGCTGTTTTCCAGTGTTGGAGCATTCACCGCTTCTGAAGGCAGGTTGTTCCACTGGTTAATTGTTCTAACTGTCAGGAAGTTTCTCCTTAGTTCTAGGTTGCTTCTCTCCTTGATTAGTTTCCACCTATTGCTTCTTTTCCTGCCTTCAGGCGCCTTGGAGAATAGCTTGACTCCCTCTTCTTTGTGGCAGCCCGAGATATTGGAATACTGCTATCATGTCCACCCTCGTCCTTCTCTTCATTAAACTAGACACACCCAATTCCAGCAACCTTTCCTTATATGTTTTAGCCTCCAGTCCCCTTGTTTATTGGATCCCTGGTCTCTTTTTAAAAATTTACTTGTATTGAGAATTGTACCCAAAATAAAAATATCTGAAGAAAAAGAGAGAAGCCATTTTTAAAAGTGCATAATTAAAAGAAAAAAAGAAAAGAGAGGTATGAGATAGAATAAGCTCCAGCCTTCTTTTCAACAGAGTTTTGCAACCTTATCACCCCTCTTTCCTCTTGGATACTACACAAATCCCTTCAATCCAGCCCTTAAATCCACATTTTTTCCATCTTTGAAGCCATAAATCATTATATCATTTTTTTTCTTCTTTCAACAGAAAATCCCTATATGGTTTCCAGTTTTTTTTTAATAAAAAGTTTTTGATGTTTTTTCTCTCTGACCCAGTGAGTAGGTCATCTTTGCTATTCAGCAAATTCTGATTTTTTTCACAATCCATTCCTCCCATGTTTAGATCTTGACCTGGGCTAAGCCTCTGACTAATTTTCTATTGCTGTCTTTAGCTTTAGGTAAAAAGGACTATTTGCTTCTAAGATTGTGCCCGAGTTTGCCTGTCTCTGGATTGAGGCAGGCCAGTGGTGTTGGCCCAGCAAACCTTCTGCATGTGGAAAACTGGGATGATGTTTTGAGAGATTGAAGCTGTTCTGTGTTATGGCATTCCTTGACATATGAGCATAATTAAGCCTGGAACTCCCATTAATAACTGAGGATATTTTACCACCATTTCTGTTGTGGTCATCTAGTTTTCTCTATTGACTTTGCTTGTCAGAGGCCAGTTGGGAAGGTCACAAATGATCACATGATCTGCAGCCATTGTAAATACATGCTGGTTGCCAAGCACCCGAGTTTCGGTCATGTGACCACACAGCCGGTGTAAAGTGGAAGGAGCCGCCTTAAGCCATGTTTTTCAGTGAATAGCCACTAAAGCAGGGGTCTTCAAACTTGGCCCTTTTATGACTTGTGGACTTCAACTCCCAGAATTCCTCAGCCAGCGTGCCTGGCTGAGGAATTCTGGGAGTTGAAGCCCATAAGTCATAAAAGGGCCAAGTTTGAAGACCCCTGCACTAAAGGAACGGTTAAGTTGAGGACCTGTAACTCATTTTCCCTCCCTCCAGCAGGTCTTTCCTGCAATTTATAAAACTGAGATCTGCTATTATGCCCTGATAAAATTGTACATTGTGCCATAGCTGTATTTAAGCTTTTCATTCTCGCTGTGTTATCCTGTCGAACCTTTCCACTGATTCGCTACATTTTCAGTTTTGAACCTTAGCATAAATCTCTTCTCCCAAGTCTGCAAAAGGTAAGTTTGAGGATGGATATTCGTTAAGATGATGGAGGGCAGGGGAAAGAAAGGCTGCATTTTTCAGAAAATATGCTGGGAATAGCCGGTTTTGATTGATTCCTTTTCTGCATACAGATTCTGGGGTGCTCCTTCTCGAGGGAAGTGACGACCCTCCCAAACTTAGCAAAGAAGAACCAGATCTTAAGACGTCTGATTTCCAGGTGATTGTGCTGATTGTGGAAAAAAGCCGAGGTTTTGGGGGGGGGGCAAGAGGTCAAAAAAGTCAAGATGGCCATCACCAGGCAATCAAAGCCTGAGACTTTTTTTAATGTGTGAAAATGAGTAAATTATTATGAATAAAACGTTATCAAAAATAATAATAATAAAGTTGGAAGGGACCTTGGAGGTCATATAGTCCAACCCCCTGCTCAGGCAGGAAACCCTATATTATTTCGGACAAATGGTTGTCCAGTCTCTTCTTAAAAATTTTCAGTGCTCCAACACTCAGGTTCCTGCCTGAGCAGGGGGTTGGACTATATGACCTCCAAGGTCCCTTCCAACTGTATTATTATTATTATTATTATTAAAATGAAGCAAAACCATCTCTCGTCTACAATATATTGTTGGTCTTCCCTGATCAGGTGTCTTCTTTGCAGTTATTCTTTGTTCTGCCTTAGCCATTCTCTTACTCCCTTTTGTATCCTATTATTTTAATAATTTAAAACTTTTTTTAAAAAGAGAAAAACATATTAAAAATGGTCAATCCACTTTGGGGCTTTAAAATTTTTAACGCCCTCTTGAATTTAACACAACATACTTATGTGCTTAGATAGTCCTCAGTTGATGACACAACTGAGCCCAACTTTTCTGTTGCTAAGCAAGATGGTTGTTAAGTGAATTTTCGCCCATTTTATGATCTTCCTTGCCATGGTTGTTCAGTGAATCCACCGCAGTTGTTAAGTGAGTCACACGGTTGTAAAGTGAATCTGGCTTCCCCAACGACTTTGCTTGTCTGAAGGTCACAAAAGGTGATCGCATGATCCCGGGACACTGCAACCGTCATAAATACATGCCAGTTGCCAAGCGTCTGAATTTTGATCATGTGACCATGGGGAAGGTGCGACAGTTGTTAAAGCAGTCATATGTCACTCTTTTCAATGTTGTTGTAACTTTGAATGGTCACTAAATGAACTGTTGTAAGTCGAGGACTACCTGTACTCTCATTGCCCAGAATTGCAGGTTTGGCTTTTACCGTATTTTCCGGCTTATAAGACGACTTTCTAAACCCTGAAAATCTTCTCAAAAGTCGCCGGGTAGCTGTTCTCTGAATTTAAAACCAATCTGTCCCCTAGTGGCCAGCCCTATTTTTTTTTTTACAGAAATAAGCACTAACACAGTGTTTTTCAACCTTGACAATTTTAAGGCATGTGGACTTCAACTCCCAGAATTCCACAGCCAGCAGGACAAAGCATTCAAAAATCCCATTTAAATTTTTAAATTTTTCTTTACAAATGTAAACCCAGCAAACACACTGTTTACCAACTATTAAGTGATTTATGTTTTAAAAAATCAATAAAATATATGGGGAAAACAATACCAGCTGAGTTCAGGAAGCATTAGGGAAGCAGTGGTGGGCAACACTCACTTTCTAGCAGCAAAGGAATGGAGCTCCTATTGTGCTCATCTATAAACAGAAATTCAATATTGTACCGTATTTTCTGGCGTATAAGACGACTTTCTAAACCCTGAAAATCTTCTCAAAAGTTGGGGGTCTTATATGCCCAGTCGTCTTATACGCCAGAATATACGGTATCTTGTTTTCCTGTACAAAATGAGAATCCCGTCCCACAGAATTTCCAAAGCAGAATTTCTCAATATTATTCGACATGCACAAATGTAGAATCAGATTTTGAGCCCAATGTTGTGGCTTTCCTCTTTTTCTGAGAGACGGGTTCAGAGAATGTGAAACAGAAGGTGAGTTGAGTGTTAAGATTAGGGTTACTAAACTCTGGTAATCTTTTTCTTTTCTTTTTTAATTCCTAACCCTTTATTCTTTTCTCCAGCCATTGATAAAACAAGTCCCAAGTCTGATAGTATTCTGTTTCTTCTTTTTCTTTCAACCTCATAGCAAGTCTATCCATCTCTGCACATTCTAGTTTTTTTTTTTAATTATTTCTTCCCCTAACCCAGTGGTTCTCAACCTGTGGGTCGGAACCCCATTTGGGGTCGAACGACCATTTCACGGGGGTTGCCAAACAACGCAGTCCGCCATTTTTTCCCCCTTTTCCTTAGCTGTGCTACTCCCTTTTATTCTATTGGCTTTTGAAAGCCAATAGAATAGACTCTCTTGAATAGACTCTAATTCTATTGGCTTTCAAAAGCCAACAGGAATTGTCCAGGCTGTCTCTGCCCTGCTGAGCCCGCCAAAAGTCCCATTCTGCAAACGGTGCTGCACCAGTTGAGTAGTCCTCGACTTATGACCAGTTGAGTAGTCCTTGACTTACGACCAGTATTAAAAAGGTTGAGAACCACTGCCCTAACCCTAACCCTAACCTCTGGTAATCTTGATGGCTGGATGGGGAATTCTGGCACAGGTGGTCCTTGACTTAACAGCAGTTCATTTAGTGACCGAAGTTACAATGGCACTGGAAAAAGTGACTTATGACCAGTTTTCATGCAGCATCCTCATGGTCACGTGATCAAAATTCAGACACTTGGCCACTGACTCATATATATGACGGTTGCCGCGTCCCGGGATCATGTGATCCCCTTTAGTGACCTTCTGACAAGCAAAGTCAATAGGGAAACCAGATTCACTTAACAACTTTATTACTAACTTAACAACTGCAGTGATTCACTCAACAACTGGGGCAGGAAAGCTTGTAAAATGGAGCAAGCCTCACTTAACCAATGTTTTGCTGAGCGACAGAAGTTCTGGGCTCAGTTGAGGTCATAAGTCAAGGACTACCTGTACTCTCATCGCCCAGAATTGCAGGTTGGGTTTTTACCTTGTTTTCCAGTACAAAATGAGAATCCTGTCCCAGCAGAATTTCCGAAGCAGAATTTCCCAATATTATTCGACATGCACAAATATGGGATCAGATTTTGAGCACAATGTTGTGGCTTTCCCCTTTTTCTGAACGATGGGTTTAGGCTGCAGAATCTGAGATAAGAGGATGAGTTGAGTGTTTAGATGAGGGTTATGCTTGCTAGTTGGGGAATAATGGGAGTTATGCAGAGCACATCATGAGAAAGGCAGGGCTAGATGAATCAAAAGTTGGAATTAAGATTGCTGGGAGAAATATTAACAACCTAAGATATGCAGATGATACCATTCTAATGGCAGAAAGTGAAGAGGAACTAAAGAACCTCTTGATGCGGGTGAAGAAGGAGAGTGCAAAAGTAGGCTTGAAACTCAACATTAAGAAAACCAAAATCATGGCATCCGGCCCTCTCAATTCCTGGCAAATAGATGGGGAAGAAATGGAGGTAGTGACAGATTTTATTTTTCTGGGCTCCAAGATCACCTCAGATGGGGACTGCAGCCAAGAAATTAAAAGACGCTTGCTCCTGGGGAGGAAAGCTATGGCAAATCTAGACAGCATACTAAAAAGCAGAGACATCACCCTGCCAACAAAAGTGCGTATAGTCAAGGCCATGATTTTCCCAGTTGCAATGTATGGCTGTGAAAGTTGGACCATAAGAAAGGCTGAGCGCAAAAGAATTGAGGCCTTTGAACTATGGTGCTGGAGAAGACTCCTGCGAGTCCCTTGGACTGCAAGGCGTTCAAACCGGTCAGTCCTAGAAGAGATCAACCCCGACTGCTCTTTAGAAGGCCAGATCCTGAAGTTGAAACTCAAATACTTTGGCCATCTAATGAGAAGGAAGGACTCACTGGAGAAGGGCCTAATGCTGGGAAAGATTGAGGGCAATAGAAGAAGGGGACGACAGAGAATGAGCTGGATGGAGTCACTGAAGCAGTAGGTGTGAACTTAAATGGACTCCAGAAGATGGTAGAGGACAGGAAGACTTGGAGGAACGCTGTCCATGGGGTCGCGATGGGTCGGACACGACTTCGCAATTAACAACAACAACAACGCTTGCTAGTTGGGGAATAATGGGAGTTGAAGTCAGCACAAAGTTGCGGAGCTTGGGAAACATTGGTTAAGGACTTCCTTTGCTTGTCTTCCAGGCCACGGACACAGCAGCTTGTTTGGAACTCACCACGGACATGGAAGAACGCACACCTGAAGTGGAGGAGTCCTTCTTGTTAGAAGGCCCCTCCTTGAAGCGGATCCGTACAGAGGAACAAGCTTCGCAGCCTACCCCCTCCTCTGAAGTGTAACCTCAAGCTTCAGGCCTGTCTTTCCCATTTCTTCTGATAGATCAGTGGTTCTCAACCTGTGGGTCGGGACCCCATTTGGGGTCGGACGACCATTTCACGGGGGTCGCCAAACAACGCAGTCCGCCATTTTCTTTTCCCCTTTTCCTTAGCTGTGCTACTCCCTTTTATTCTATTGGCTTTTGAAAGCCAATAGAATAGACTCTCTTGAATAGAGTCTAATTCTATTGGCTTTCAAAAGCCAATAGGAATTGTCCAGGCTGTCTCTGCCCTGCTGAGCCCGCCAAAAGTCCCATTCTGCAAATGGTGGTGCACCGGTTGAGTAGTCCTCGACTTACGACCGGTTGAGTAGTCCTCGACTTACGACCAGGTGGGGGTCGCGGCATTAAAAAGGTTGAGAACCACTGTGATAGATGGATCTATGTGGGAGAATGTGACATACTATTAGCTAAATATGGTGCGTCCAAGCCTTTTGTCTCTGCAACCTGATATTGCCACAGTACTGCCTGCTGCCCCCTTGTGACAACACTGTTTATATGAAGCATTCACGTTTTACGCATGCATGGAAATGAAACATAGCTGTGGGAAGGGAGGCCTATGACCAGAAGCAATCACGGAGACTTACAGAAATGAGAAAAGCGGTTTACGTTACCTATGCAGAAATGTGATTTATATATTGGGAATACGAGAGAGTAAAAGTAAAATTCTGTTTTAAACCACAGATTAGGAAGGTCGAAAGCTCCCTAAATTCTATCTTCTAGCTTAGTTTTTCAGCACGAAAGAGCAGCCTGTAATTTAAAAGCAAGGATACAATTTTATATCCATTCCAAATCCATATTTTGCAGCATGGAAACAGATATTCTGGGAAAAGAGCAAGATGCACAATTTAATTATTTAATAATGCTAAAGTTAAGTAACATACCAGAGGCTTTGAAAACCTGGGAACTAATGGCAAGCAAGATGTGACTCTGTTATGGACATTTGTCTGGAATGGTATAGGGCAGTGATGGTGAACTTTTTAGAGACCGAGTGCCCCAAAATTGGCCCCGCCCCTGCTCCATCCCCTGCCCCGCCCCTGCTCCACCCCACCCCACCTGCCTGCAGGACCACTCACTGCCTCCAGGGCCTGCTGCAGATTGCCCAGGCAGACCAGCAGTGCCATGGCAGCCACGCCCTTACCCATGCCCCGCAGCATCAACTGTGCATGATGGGGTGTGAGGACAGGGTCTTGTCTACGCTGCCTGGCTGCCATGTCCTTGGCTGCACTGCTCCACGTGGGCCACACTCGGGGCTGACTCTCCTCCAGGGGGATTGCTGGTGAGGAGGGGGTCGCAGGGGGAGGCAAGGCTGGGGCAATGGCATGCGTGCCCACAGAGAGGGCTCCGACTGCCACCTCTGGCACCCATGCCATAGGTTCGCCACCACTGGTATAGGGTCTCATGCTTGACTAGGGGGTTGGCCTAGAAGACCTCCAAGGTCCCTTCCCACTCTATTATTCTATGTTCTCTATTTGCGGAGGACACATCCAATGCTGCTTTGCCAGCAGAGAAAACAGATCAAACTTTGATGTGAAGGCTCAAATAAGGCCTGGAATTAAGTCTCCACTGAAATGCTCTAAAGCAGGGGGTCTCAACCTTGGCAGCTTTAAGACTTGTGGACTTCAACTCCCAGAATTCCTCAGTCAGCTTTGCTTTGCTGGCTGAGGAATTCTGGGAGTTGAAGTCCACAAATCTTAAAAGTTGCCAAGGTTGAGGATTCCTGCTCTAAAGCAGGGATGGGCAACTATGGCCCCTTTATGACCCGTGGACTTCAACTCCCAGAATTCTCAAGAATTTTGGGAGTTGAAGTCTACAGGTCATAAAAAGGCCAGTTGCCCACCCTGCTCTAAAGACTCTTTTTATAGAGGCATTAAAAAGTGCAGGGCTTTCTTCACATGGGTTCAAAGCTACCATCTTGACCTCTTCCCAAATACTTCTAGATTCTATGCACCTGAGACACCAGGCTTTATATTCTGAGGAGAAAATTTTCTCCTGTAGGTTATTTCTGTTGTTGAAAACTTGGGAGTTGGGGTAGTTAGAAAAGCCAGGAGTCTTGTAGAATGTAAAAAATCCGCTCTAACCCACTTATAACAGGAAGAGTTTCTGCTTTGATTCAGTTGCCACCCCAAAGATGCCCCATTTATGCCCACTGCCAAGACTAATTGGTAGGAAAGGCAAACAAGGCAGACCAACGGCTCAGAGTTGAAGGATGTCAAGGAAAATGAGCAAAGCCATAGTTTGCTGGATAATAAGAGGCAAAATGAAGTTTGCTTATGATTTCTCATAAGGGATGCTTCTGGCCACTGAATGAGTAGGGCTGAGACATGTTTAGGAGCTCCAATGAAGCCACGTTTGTAATGTCGTGCCGTAATTATGTCATTTTCATCAACTGCATCATTCAAGTCATTTGCATACAAGTAGTCCTTGACCTATGACAGGGGTTTTCAAACTTGGCCCTTTTATGACTTGTGGATTTCAACTCCCAGAATTCCTCAGCCAGTGTGCCTGGCTGTTCAAACCTAACAGCAGCACTGGAAAAAAGTGACTTATGACTGTTTTTCACACAACCGTTGCAACATCCCCATGGCCTGTAGTGAGCCACTTAACAACTGTTGCAAGAAAGGTGATAAAATGGGGCAAAATTCACTGAACAACTGTTTCACTTAGCAACAGAAATTGTGGTTTCAGTTGTGGACGTAAGTCAAGGACTACTGGCATAGTCTTAAGTTGAGGACTGCCTGTAATGCACCATGGTGTGTGATGTCACATGGCCCTCACAGATGCTTGTGGTGTGCAGTTGCAGCCAGAGAACAAAAATAATAATGCTAACTTTTTTAGGAAGGAAAAAAAACGTTGTAAGCTACTTACTAAAGATACAGAATTCATTAGAATTCACGGACAGGTGTGAATGCATTTTTGTCCTTTGGGCTTCCTCTTCTTAAGATTGGCCAAACATATTTTTTCCAAGTGTGTTTGAAACACTGTGATCCAGAAATTGTGACAATCCACATTTACAATCCATATATACCAGAGACACTTGTGTGCATTATTTGGCAAACGTATGTGGCATTAGTAAGTCGTTCACCAGTTGTGGATTTGCCTCAAGGAAGAAATGCCGTTGTATCCATTCAATTTGACCTATAGGGTATAGTCGCACAATTTCTTAAATGCATCATGAATGAAGACATTCATTCATACCAGGTTAAGACAGTAGTAGTTAGTGAAAGTGTAGTATTGTTTGATTTAGCAATAACCGCTCACATTTTTATCTCTATGATTTTATAAGTGTTTAATTTTACATTGTAATTTTCATAGCTTATAAACTCCTATTCCTCATTCAGAAATCTGTAGTGTTTTTTTTATCTTAAAGCAAAAGTGGGTATTTCTTGAAATCAACATTTTTTGCATGCATGGAACATATTTTGTCAAGGGTCATTTTTAAATGACCTCTCCTTTCTCAAATTCTGGAATAGGTAGGCCGTATTTGCAGGCCCTGGACGAGCTCAGTCATAAAACTACATTTTTGACCTTTTCTACTTTAGGGACAGCTAGAGGGTGAAGGCCAAATCTGACCTTAGGTTCTGCCTCAGTGCACCTTTTCCAATAAGTAACTGAGCTGGAAGATAATTTAAAAGCAATTTATTAGAGTACTCTGATAAAGTGGGATCTCCCTATGAAAAAGGAAAACCTAGAAACCCATCCAACATTCTTTGTTATAGAGAAAAAGGTGACTGGACAGAATAAAAGTAACTTCCCCTTTGCATAGGCAATCAATTACATGTAGTCATGTTATTGATTTGCATCCCATAATACCACACGTGTTCATTAAAACGAAGTATGCCAACAGAAAGTGTATAAATTTTAGGAGGCTAATAAACAAAAAGGTTGTTTGGAGTTCACGAGACAGACCAGATGCCAATTAGTGCTAAAAAGCTGTCTCTATCTTATGAGGAGTCATTGTGCAGACACTATCAATCAATTCATATAGCAACAGGATAAAAAGTTTTCCTACATTCCAGTCTGTAATAATAAACCCATATCACCATTTTAAAAGAAAGAAAAATAAGTCAAATTAAAATACAATGTAATATTAGTTAACAAGTTACAAAGTCCATGTCTTGTGCCCCTCACAAGGCAACCATCTAAAGCAGGGGTCCCCAACCTATGGTCCACGGCCTGGGACCAGGCTGTGGGCTCTTGGCTGATGGCTGCAGAAATGGCTGGCCGGTGTGTGCACGCATGGGCACGCATTCCCCATTTGTGCTAGTGCCCACGCATTCTCCATTTGTGCTAGTGCCCGCGGCCCCATTCGTGCATGCACACGGCCACGAACGGGGACGCTAGTGCAGGGTGGGTGTCTACAGCCTGTTTCCGCATGCGCCGCTAGTCGCTGTGGGGGTGTGTGTGGCTGTTCACACATGCACATGCCGCCAGCACATTCTGCATGCACAAACGGGTCCACTAGTGGCACGCCAGTGTGCGTGGCCCTGTGCACGTGCGCACCAATTATGAAGCTGCTCTCCTTCCCTCCCGGTCTGCGAGCCCAGAAAGATTGGAGATCTCTGATCTAAATGACATTGGCTGATCCTGAAAAGATAATGCCAGACCTGGTTAGAAGTTAGATGAAAGATAACAAGAAATTTCAGACTGAAGAAGTTAAAAACTTCCTGGAAGAAGGCAACGTTTTCACTTTGCCACATTGGCAAACTTGGGCTAAAGTTGGTTCGGTGTTTCATTAACTAGGTTAATCCATAACCAAAGCTCAGTTAACAAAAGAAACCAGATCGTAGAAACAGAGTTACTGTAGGCAGTTCTGGGCTAGCTGGGCCTAAAGACTTGTCATTTAGCAGAAAGCACTTTTCTCCAAAAGTTCAGCTGATTAAACACACTCCTCCCTCCTGAATGCATAACAAGCATTCTGAAGCTATGAAAGATGTATCTTATGCTGTTCATTTAGATTAGTGGTGCAAAGATTGTAACTGAGCATCTTTTCTAGACATCAAATCCCTCCGTGGGTGCAGCCAATTTTCTTCCCCACATTGGACAACCTGGTTTCAAAGAAGCGAAATGGCTATAGTAAAATATTTGCAACTGCTTCAGCCTTCTTTACTCCTTAACACACACACACACACACACACACACACACACACACACACACACAGTACACTTAGCCCACTTTTAGCATGTACTGTAGCTCTAAAGCTTATGAAAACACCATCCTATGGTATAATATGGGGTCCTTGGTCCTCTCTGAGCTTGTTTGTTTTCTTGCAGGCTTTTCATTACCAAACTAGGTAACTTCGTCATTGATGCGAGCACTGATGATGTTATCTAGTTGGGTAATGAAACGCCTGCAAAAAAACCAAACAAGCTCAGAGAGCACCAAGGACCCCTCATTTCAACCCTACGAATATTCTCCTATATCTGTATAGCACAGGTGTCAAACCCTTCACATGACGTGTCATGATGTATTGCAACTCTTTTTGCATTGCCAGCAATGGGGTGGGCGTGGCTTTGGTATGATGAAACCGGCCCATGGGCCGGCAGTTTGACACCCCTGCAGTATAGTATAATGAAATGGTAAAGCAGTCCTTAAAACAACGGGACACAGGGCAGAAAACATCATGCAAAAAAGCACAGCTCCACAACAGTCCTTTCGGCAGTTCCAAGAAGGCTCCACACCCATTTGCACCACCCAGGTGACCCCTGAGGACACAGACAAGCCTCCAAGTGGTCTCAACAACTCTCTAAAACAGGGATAGGCAGCCTTGGCTCTTTTATGACTCGTGGACTTCAACTCCCAGAATTCCTGAGCCAGCCATGCTGAGGGGAAAGGGAGGTTTCCAAGCTGAGCTGTGATGACTGAGGAATTCTGGGAGTTGAAGTCCACGAGTCATAAAAGAGCAAAGGTTGCCTACCCCTACTCTAAAGGAATGCAAATGACCAGCTGTCTGCAAGGAGTATAAATCCTTCCATTCCCCACCATCCAGTCACAGCTGAAGAAGCTTCTTGGATGAGAAGTGAAACATCTTCAAGGAAAAACAAGGAAGTCCAGGTGCCTCCTTAAAAAGCACCTTTGGGATAACCATGGCCTGGATGACAGACTCTCCATAGAATGAAACAACATAGCTTTCTATGATGAATCAAAAGTTGGAATTAAGATTGCCGGGAGAAATATCAACAACCTAAGATATGCAGATGATACCACTCTAATGGCAGAAAGTGAAGAGGAACTAAAGAGCCTCTTGATGCGGGTGAAGAAGGAGAGTGCAAAAGTTGGCTTGAAACTCAACATTAAGAAAACCAAAATCATGGCATCCGGCCCTCTCAATTCCTGGCAAATAGATGGGGAAGAAATGGAGGTAGTGACAGATTTTATTTTTCTGGGCTCCAAGATCACCTCAGATGGGGACTGCAGCCAAGAAATTAAAAGACGCTTGCTCCTGGGGAGGAAAGCTATGGCAAATCTAGACAGCATACTAAAAAGCAGAGACATCACCCTGCCAACAAAAGTGCGTATAGTCCAGGCCATGCTTTTCCCAGTTGCAATGTATGGCTGTGAAAGTTGGACCATAAGAAAGGCTGAGCGCCAAAGAATTGAGGCCTTTGAACTATGGTGCTGGAGAAGACTCCTGCGAGTCCCTTGGACTGCAAGGTGATCAAACCGGTCAGTCCTAGAAGAGATCAACCCTGACTGCTCTTTAGAAGGCCAGATCCTGAAGTTGAAACTCAAGTACTTTGGCCACCTAATGAGAAGGAAGGACTCACTGGAGAAGGGCCTAATGCTGGGAAAGATTGAGGGCAATAGAAGAAGAGGACGACAGAGAATGAGATGGCTGGATGGAGTCACTGAAGCAGTAGGTGTGAATTTGAATGGACTCCAGAAGATGGTAGAGGACAGGAAGACCTGGAGGAACATTGTCCATGGGGTCGCGATGGGTCGGACACGACTTCGCAATTAACAACAACAACAGCTTTCTATCAGGAAAGGCTGAAGGTGCCATCTACCGACGGCGGCTTGTCTTGCGCTTGATTATGTGTGCGTGCGTTTGTGTGGGTGGGTGGTTTTTTTTTTTTTTTAAAGCACAAGCTTTCTCAGCGGCGCTGATTTCTGGACCGACTTTTGCGCGCACGGGAGTTGAATTTCAGATCCGCTTGGATCTGGCACGCTCGGAGCGCAATTTAGGAGAGCTGGAAAATGCAAAGCGATGCCAGTGGCGCTGCAGAGAAAGGGCCCTTCGCTGATCAGCTCCGAAGTCGCAAAGCAAAGCAGTCAAGGAATAGTTAACCCTTCACATTCCCCTCCTCTCTTCCCTCCCCCCCCACCTCCCCGTTCCCACGTGCAGCAAGACGGAAGGGGAGGGCAGGCCGTGTCTTATCCGGAGGGGGGCGATTGCGCATTTCCTGGGATTGGGGGAGTTCCCTTCCTCCGGCCCCCGACGGAAGCAAAAAAAAAAAAAAAAAAAAGGAGAGGGCTTTTGGGCATGACCCACCGGCCACCAAAGAGCATCCCGTCTTCCAAGGGGAGGTGAGTCACTCCGTTTTCCTCTGGTCCAGGTGCAACCTCCGCCCCCTCCTCACCCCACCCCCCCCTCCGGCCCCGGATGAGAATGCACGGGAGGGAATGCGCGGGCTCGCGCGGCGGCGCTGGAGAAAGGAACTCGGGAGCGAGAGAGGCGCGCGCACGCGCGTGCCCATCCCCTTTGCCGGCTCGTTGCCCACGCGGAGTCCCGAGATTGTGGCCTTCCAGCCTCGCCTCCCTTCCGCGGTCCTTCCCAGATCCGGGGAAAGCCGGCAGCCCGAACGCCTTTCCCGCCGCCGCGCCTTTCCTCCAATGGAGAGGGAACGGCGGCGCCTGCTCGTTTCATTGCCTGGCCGCTTTTCCGCCCGGCTGTGTCGGCAGGCGACGGTGCTCCCTCTCCGCCCGTTTCCCACGGGTGGGATCCCCTTCGCACCTTCCCCCGCTTACTTCGCAGGGGCCAAGACAGGACAATGATCATTGAGATCCCGCGGTTAGTCTCTCTTTCTCTCTCTCGCTCTCTCTCTCTGTGCTTCCCTCTGTGTGTATCTTAACTTGAACTCCTCCTTTCCCCGTGAGAACAGTTGCTATGGCCGGGATTTCCGAGCTTGGTATCATCTGCCTTTTCGCACCTAGTACTAAATTTAGTTTTTCTCTGGAGCTGACCCATATTTGTTTTTTCTTGTTTTGGTCCAGTTCCTTTGTTGCCTCCAAATCCGTGTGGAGCTGATCAGAACTTGATCCCTGCATTTGAGAAAGAGAGAGAGGGAGACTTTTACCTTTGCAAAGGGGCTTCTTTGCCCCCCCCCCCCCGAAAGTACGAATCACTTTAATCCCTTTAAGTAATCCGGGCAAAGCAAAATGTCGGACTTAAACCTCTAAATAGAAACAATCTGTCAGGTCTGCCATCTTTAGCTTCTTTGCTTCATTGGCATCCTGCCATTAAAAAGGGAGGGGCTGGGAAGGAATCTGGGGGAAGCAGAGGTCAGGCATGGGAATGGGAAGACAAATTGGGGTGGGGGGAGGGGAGACAAGCTGATGAGAACCAGAGGTGTAAAACTGGAATAAGCCAGTTGGCAAGCACACAGTCTGGGAACAGAATGGGAAACTATCATGGAGAGGCACCAAGTGTTATATCTTAGGAGGCAGAGTGTTGAAACAGCAAACAAGCTTATTAACTCGGAACAGAAGTAGCCCTAAAGCAGTGGTGGCGAAACTATGGCATGCGTGCCAGAGACAACACTCGGAGCTCTCTTTGTGGGCACACAGAGAGGTGTTGCTCCAGTCTTGCCTCCCCCCACGACCCCCTGCTCACCAGCAGCCCCCCTGGAGGAGAGTCGCCCCCCCCCCCGAGCGTGGCTCACACAGAGCAGGGTAGCCAAGGACATGGTAGCCAGGCAGTGTAGACAAGATTCTGCCCTCATGCCCCATCCCGCACAATTGATGCTGTGGGGTGCGGGCAGAGGGCGTGACCGCCATGGCACTGCTGGGCTGCCTGGGAAATCTGTGGTGGGCCCTGGAGGCGGTGAGTGGCCCTGCGGACAGGTGGGGTGGGGGACGGGCTGGGGGTGGGGCAGGGTGTGGAGTGGGGGCAGAGCCAGTTTTTGGGCACTCGGTCTCTAAAAGTCTCTAAAAGGTTCGCCATCACTGCCCTAAAGGCTGCTGCACAGCTATTTATACAGTTACCCTCTAGGACGGTGGCAATCAATAAGTTTAAAGTAACAGTTTCCTGCCTTAAACCTCATTATCATCTTGGAGGTAGCCAGTCTGGCTTTCAGTAACAGCAACTGTTAAACAATACAGCAAGGTAGGTCAGACATTAAGCAAGTGATTTAAAACAGTTGTGGCCAATACATTACACCAAGCATCAAAGCTGTTCCCAAAACATCAAAAAGGAATACTATTGGACGCTGATGAACTGGTCAAGGGGGGAGGGCTTGAGAAAGAGGAAAAAGTGTAACCTCTACAAGAATATTTAGATGTAGCTTAAATGTCAGACCTGCCCTGACTTAGACATTTGGGAAAGAAAGACCCCCTTTGATTTAGGCTGAAGTGATAGGTTGTTTTACTAAAGATAAGTGTTTGTAGCAAAAGTAAAGCTAGAACTGAGTATTCACGCGCAAAATTTACACAGTCTGATATGATCCATTTGTTGAGAAAGATATAGTTTATTAGAAATCAAGCTTATTGCAGTACAGATAGTCTTTGATTTACAACCAAAATTGAGTCCAAAATTTATGTTGTTAAGTGAGAAATTGGTTATGTGAGTTTTGCCCCATTTTACAACATTTGTTAAGTGAATCACTGCAGTTGTTAAATTAGTAACATGGTTGTTAACAATCTGGCTTCCCCATTGTCGGAAGGTCACAAGGCACTGCAACCGTCATAAATATGAACCAGTTGTCAAACATCTGAATGTAAATCATGTGACCACGGGGATGCTGCAATGATCATAATTGTGAAAAATGGTCACAAGTCATTTTTTTCCAGGGTGGATAATGATAGTTTTTTAAAAAATAAATAAATAAAATCGGATTCTTTTTATTTAAATCAGATTTTTTTTATTTTTATCAAATTTACTCTAAATGCTTTTGGAGTAAAAATCTATCTAAATATAGTTTTCTATTTAAGATACATTACTAATTTAGTTTGTTCAGCATGAAATGGAGCTTAGTTATATAGCACGAGGCTGTATATTCTGCAATATTTACATTTTTTGTAAACTCATTCAATGAATCCAAGCTCTGCAAGCTGAGATAACATGCACTGCATTGATACATTTACACAATTTCACATAAGATAAAGTAACCATGAGATAAATCATCAAACTAAGTTCAGCAATATTCCTTTATCCCATTGTTTTACAAATCTATGTACATTACAAACTATGATTGTTTGAAGAGAAATGCATCTATACCAGGCTCTAAGTATTTTAATTAAATAAAAGAATGAGTAGTTTTCCAACTATTTGTGATTAACCTATTAACCTAAAATCGGTTCTGATATCGCTGTTTTACTAACCTGACCACTTATTATTCGAAATAGGAAATCTTCCCTTTTGTTTGCAAATAATATTAAAGATTCTAACCACCAGCAAGAATGAGTCCTTACATTTAAAGAGCACCTGTCATTTCAGATCCATTATGGCAGTGCCTGTTAGCGTGCATCCGCTCACCTGCTGCCCGCCACGTCCCTCACCTTGTTGTGTCACTGCGGCATCACCAGCCGTCCCACTGAAGTGAATGGGACTGTCGGTGAGTGAACAGCGGGTCAGAGGAGGAGCCGCTGTGGGACAGAGATGACAGTTGCTCTTTAAAAAATTATGATTTAAATCGTGATTTGAATCGACTTAATCAAATCCGCCCTGCTTTTTTCAGTGCTGTTGTAATTTTGAATGGGCACTAAACAAACGTAAGTCGAGGGCTATCTGTATTGCAAAGCCAGAACTGAGAATCACACACCAAAATTCCTAGGTTCTCCTTTTCCCTCCCTTAACACACTCTCATTGTCGACTCCAGTGTAATCAATCGGGTTCAGGCAAGATGTTTCCATAATGGACAATCCAAGCATGGTTTAGTATGCGGCCAGCCTTTTAGCTGGGTGACCTTGAGGCAGGAAATACAGCGCTTTCATTTTCCCAAACAATTCCCCCACCTCACAATTCATGATGGTGCTGACACAAAAAGCATTGATTAAGTGTGTGTGGGCAGATCAAATCTTTTGATAGGGTACAGAAACAAATGATGCATGTTTGGGAGAATTTCTCTGGGTTTCTTCCAAGCTGGGAAGCAATCAAGATGCGGAGGCTGGCTGCTTTTGGAAAAAGATTCATTATTATTGTTCCAAAAACAATACAAGGTTTGCTTTTGGGGGCAGCTGAACCCAGACTGGCACATCAGTGAGATTTTCAGATCATATGGGTCCCTTTGTGGTGTCCTTGGTGCTCTCTGAGCTTGCTTGTTTTCTTGCAAACATTTCATTATCCTAACCAGGTAACATCATCAGTGCTAGTGCAGTGCAGTGAAGACTTAGCACTGATGATGTTACCTAGTTTTGCAAGAAAACAAGCAAGCTCAGAGAGCACCAAGGACACCACAAAGGGATCCATATGATCTGATGTCAACCTCATGTCAATCCTGAGCTACAAATATTCTCCTTCATTGGAATCCTTTGTGTCAAACATGAGATCACAAGAATGTGATATATATGTTTTATTACTACAGGGAAACAGGAAACATAGGTGGTATTTTTATGGTCAGAGGAACTTAGAAAATATTTCGTCTGTTATCTCCCTCATTAGGAAAGAACTTCCTGGCCAGGCAGAGGTGCTAAATTCCCAAGGCTTTTAAATGTTGACTGGCTCCAGCGGCCTGTCAGTGATCTATTGTCTTTAAGGAAATACTGTATTTTTTGAGTGGAGATGGGTTTCTCTGATTCCAGATCGGAAGGCTGTTAAAAAGAAGCAGATTCAAAGGCTTTTATTATCGCAAGGCATTCAGTACACATGATAGTCAGTAAACAAATGATCAATAAAATACCTTGATCACTTGTGAAGTTTGAACAGTAGAAAACATTGATTCTACATAACATTCCACAAGTGACCAATGCATGGCTTACAATACTCTTTCCCAGTTAGGTTTGAATCTTTTTTTTTTTTTTTTTTGCATATTGCAAGTGTATTCAGGACTCGTCTATGCAGATTCTCAGTCATCCAGATCATAGTTGTCCCACGGATGCTTTTTCATGAGGCAACTGGACTTTCTTGTATTCAGGACAATAGCGCTCTATTTCTAGTTGCTTAAAAACCTAGATCTCACACATATCAAAGAATTGGCATTGGCGAAGAAGCGGCGGGGGGGGGGGGACATGCTTTCTTAAAGATACAAAAGAGGGCCAGACTTAGATGTTAAAAGTGGTAGTATCACCTTTTAAAATACTAATAATGAAGTCTTAAAATGTGAGGCCACACTTAGGAGACTACACCCATTGATCAACCAAGTGTGATGGAATATGCAGGGGAGGGAGGGTGGGGGATATTAGGAGAATTGGGGGGGGGATGTCAATAGTACCACTGACACTCTTGTGGAAAAATAAAGCCTTAAAAAATATAAGGACTTTTACGAAATTCCAGAGGGTGAAAGAGAGAGATATTTATTTTTGCGCAAAAAGGTTCAGAAGTGATTTAACAATCAACAAATTTCTGAACAAGGGGGAGGGTCTAAACTAAAGCTTTATAGGTTTCTTTTTCTCAGGAACAAAGGAAGCATAGATGGAATCTTACATTGTATATGGAATCTACTTTGTGTAACATTCAGATAGTTTCTCACACGTTAGGTCCATTTCTCATGGAATACAATGAAGGCAGTTTTTACTTTTATACAATGTTTCTAAATATGCATTAGGTCATTCACATACTGTTAATACAGCTTTTGCTAACACAGCTTTCTTTCAGAGATTATGCAGACACATGATTTTTGCTTTTAGTGATTTTTCATTATTATTATTATTATACTTTATTCTTCTTTATTCTATGTTATTCTATTTCTTTCCCACATTACTCCCCCCTTTTGGAAGTTTTCCAGCTTAAACTTCCATTATTCTACCTCTGATTCCGGATCTCCTGAAGGTACCATTTTATATTCCCATAAGGCTAACATTGTTTCATGTTTTGCTGTTAATTGGGCTGTACTTTCTGAGGTCCTCCGAATCATGGCTATAAGGCAGGGGATCAAGCAAGGAATTAAAATACACCCTAGAATTAACAAGACTTTTAGGCCTACAAACCTTCATAGTTATAGCAGCCTTGTTAATTCCAGGATCCATAGCAGTGGTCTCATTGGTTCCAGACCACCATTTACCGTTTTCCCATGTCCCTGTGCATAGGAGGTCACCTACTGCTACACACGATTCTGTTTTGTTTCTTGAGTAACATACATGTCCTACCAAGTTGGAAGTGAGACCCCAATCACCATCTTTCCCACTTGTATAGGTTAAATTATTATTTTTAGACATTTCCAGTATCTTGGTATAATTTAACTCTTGTGCTTCCCACGGCCACCTTTCTCCCATGTTTGTTCCACCACACACAAAACAGTTAGACACGCCTAAAGTATGGGCAATGTCTTTTGCTAACTTAACAAAGGTATTGGTTACATGTCTAGGTACTTCAGGAATATGTAGGTTCTCCATTTCTCATAATATGACCAAAATAATGATTTTTGTTCTGGTCTTTTGGTTTCAGTTATAATTTTGACTTCTATTTCTGACATTGGGTCATAGCCATTTGTATCTATTCCTATCCCAAACATCCATTTCTTACCTTCCCACCTATTTTGTTCTAGGAACCAACTGCCATGGTGGGGGATGTCAGTAGTACCACTGACACCACAGGTAGACCTTGACCTACGACTAATCATTTAGTGACTGTTTCAAATTACAATGACATTGGAAAAAAAGTGAATTATGATCATTTTTTCATGCTTAACAACATTGCAACATCCTCTGGTCATGTGATTAAAATTTGGGCCCTCAGCAACTGGCAGGTATTTATTATGACAGTTGTACTGTCCTGAGGTCACATGATCACCATTTTTAAACCTTCCCAGCTGGCGTCTGACAAGCAAAGTGGGGGGGGGGAGGAAGCAGGTTAACAACTGCGTGATTCATTTAATAATTGCAGTTTAACAACTGTGGGCACAAAAAGGTCGTAAAATAGGATACCGTACTCAATGCTCTCCTTAGCAATAGAGATTTGGGGCTCAGTTGTGGTGGTAGGTCTACCTGTACTGCTGATGTTCCCCCTCCCCACATTTCCTTCCTGCACATACCATCCTACCAAGCAAGGATCACAATGGCTTGGACCCCCCAAAAAAAGATCTCTCAAGGTGGATAGTAAATTTAGCTTTAAAGCAGAAGCCTCGGCAGGAGGCCGAAAGTGGCCAAAATGGTACTTGCAACTGTGGTGTTCAAGCACCGCCTTCTTTATTGTGTTACAAGCGTAATGCATGAAACCGAGGGCAGGGTTTTGATTGTAGGGTCATGGCCTACATCTTGATATTTTTACCGTACCCCATCAACATCCCTGAGCAGAATACTAGTGACTGTAAGGGTGCTCCAGGAGTCTGTAGTATCCGGTTCTGTACTGTTGGAGGTCTTGTGGCTTCTTGCCTGAAAATGCTCTACAGGTAGTCCTTGACTCATGACCGTTCATTCAGTGACTGTTGGTAGTTATACTACAATGCTGAATGAATGGTGGTTATGACTGGTCTTTGAAATTCTGGCTGGCCCAGCATCTCTGGTCATATGACTTTGTTGTAGGTGCTGGGCAATGGGTTTGTGCAGGTTGTTGCAAGAGGTTGCAAGTTAACATAATAATAATAATGATGATGATGGTGATGATGATGATGATTTTGGAAGGGATCTTGGAAGTCATCTAGTGCAACCCCCTGCTTAGGCAGGAAACCCTATACCAGTGGTGGCGAAGCTATGGCACGTGTGCCATGCCCCAGAGATGGTGAGGGACTGGCCCTTGCTGCCCTGGCCCCACCCAGTCTGCCATGACCACCGCGGCCACACCCACCAGCACCTGGTGATAAATAAGTGGGTTCTGGGTTGCAGTTTGGGCACTGGGTCTCTAAAAGGTTCGCCTATACCATTTCAGACAAATAGCTGTCCAGTCTCTTCTTAACAACTTCCAGTGTTGGAGCATTCACCGCTTCTGGAGGCAGGTTGTTTCATTGGTTAATTGTTCTAACTGTCAGGAAATTTTTCCTTAGTTCTAGGTTGCTTCTCTCCTTGATTAGTTGCTGGGATAGGTTTTCCCATTTGCACACCTTCCCTCAGCCCCTCTGTGTTTACACTGGCACTCCTAGACCCTTGATCGTTCTAGCAATAGCAATAGCAATAGCATTTAGACTTTTTTGTGCACCCCTCCTTGTACCCTCTCACACCCACAACCTGCACTATGCCTGTCATGCATTCTGTCACACTCTTTGCACATTATCTTGCTCCTTCCCTGTCTTGTTCTATGGCCCCATTGTTTAGCAAAAGAAATTCTGGCCCAATTGTTGTAAGTTGAGGACTACCTGTATGTTTTTTTTTTTTCTTGGTTCACAATTGCCAACGTTTTTTAACCAGAGACATTTCCTTTTTTCCCCTTCAGCTGGTTGGAAGAATCCTCTTCATCTCTTTTCTGAAGGATGTTATTCATGGGGAAAACATAAACTAAGTCCTGAAAATAAGCAAGAGGTGACAACCTCTGCTTCTCGAGGAAGCGGACTTCCTAGTAAATTCTAAGCCAGTTGCTTCAGTTCTCTGCTTTCTCTAAATTAAAGTGGAAATGGAGAAGTGTTCACCTCCTGTTGGGACAATTAAGGAGTTCCTAAATTGCTCACCATCCTGGAAAGACTGCATGGATCTAAGTGGAACGATTGTGAAGCCCCAATACTGGGAAGTCTGGCAGCAGGTCCTCCTACCGACTCCACATTACAAAGTGACAGATGCAACCCCTCCCAAGGTAATGCTGGACGACATCCAGATTTGTGTGGTCTCCCTTGAAAATTCTTCCAACTCCTTTAAAGAGAAGGAGGCCAACACTGAGGGGATGGTTGGAATTGATTGTGTGATTACTGTTGAAGAAGAAGTTGAAGTCCAAGGGAAGTCCTCACCAGAATCTAGGATTGAGCTCAGAGATGATATCAAGATTTGCATTGTGCCTGAATTACAAGATGAGGCCCCATTTATGGTTAAAGATGGAGGGAGGACCAAGGGCGTCACAAACCCTGTTAAGGATAGAGGCCTCTCCAGAGTTGAAAAGGCCACTCAGACTGAAGTCACCCAGATGGAGATGGCTAAGATATGTGAGGACTATATTCAGAAAGCAGAAGGAGCCAAGGTCACCTTATGGGACAATCATCAGGCCAGTGTGGTTTCCAGAAACAACCCAAGAGATTCTGAAGGTGGGATGATCCACTTAAGAGAGCCTGATGGAATAGGAGAACCTGAAGAGGCAGCTTGCAATACTCTCACAGATGGAGACAAGGGAGATGAGGAGGAAGAAGAGACAGCCATCTTGAAAAAAGGAGGTATTGTCATGGAGAGTGCCCGCCAGAGTTTCCGCTGGTACTGTTACCCAGAAAGTGAGGGACCCCGAAAAGCTTACAGGCAACTGTTGGACCTTTGCCATCATTGGTTGAAACCAGAGAGACATAGTAAGGAACAGATTCTAGAACTGCTGGTCCTGGAACAATTTTTGGCTATCTTGCCCAAGGAAATACAGAGTTGGGTATGGCAGCAGCACCCAGAAAGTTGTGTGCAAGCTGTTGACTTGGTGGAAAACTTTCTGACAGGACTTTCTGTGCTTGAGAGACATGGGAAAAAGGTGAGGGGTCTTAAAGACCGTTGGCTGTGAGGCGTAGTGTTTTACTATTAACCCATTTGGGTAGTTTAGAGAGTGGTGATGCTAGAATCGCTATTTGAGGTTAAAAAACAACCTATCAGCGAGGAAAGGGAATTCCCAAAGACTGAAGATCAGGTCTTCAATTTTTCAGACTGAAGAACTCTGGAGAAGCAGGAACTTATATAGGGAGGCCTGGATTGCTATTGGATCATCTGGGTCACCTGACTCTTTGGAGTTCTTCAGTGATCCCCAATGATGTGCCCTTGACAACGCATCACATTCATCTTTTTTGTGGCAAACCATCCTATTTCTAAAAATTCATCCTTGAAATAAGGATTAATAGCCACTCACCTCGCAGGGTTGATGTTGTGGGGAAGATGGGTGTGTTGGATATGTTCACTGTCTTGAGATATTTGTAGAAATAATAAAGGCAGAATACAAATAAGTTGATATAACAAAGGGATGCACTGATGCTTACAGTAGCCTTGACTGAGGTGGCTTTATAAATTCATAAACAAATGAAATTGTTCTCCTTTTCTTATGCTGCAGGACTATAATAGATCGATATGTATTCTTTGGACTTCTGTCAATATTTCTAATTTTTGTCATTTAAATGATATGAGGAATGATGCATGATTTAGTGATTCTGTCTTAGTATAAATAATGTATATGCTATTCCTTCATTTGAATGCAAGATTTAAATCACATCTTCGGCACTTAGAATGTAGTAACTTCTGCCTTCTCAAAGAATCATTATAACATGTCTGTGACTAAATTTGTTTAGCGACTGTTCAAAGTTACAACAGCGCTGAAAAAAAGTGACTTAGACCAACCCTTACGCTTACTATATGACTGTCGTACCCTCCCAACAGTAACATCTTTAAAATTTGGATGCTTGTCACTTGGCGTGTATTTATGAGGGTTGTAACATCCCGGGGTTACGTGATCGCCATTTGGGATTTTCCCAGCTGGCTTCTGACAAGCAAAGACAATGGAGGAAGCCAGATTCACTTAATGACCATGTAATTTACTTAACAACTGCAGGGAATTGTTTAACGCTCTGGCAGAACAAAATCTTAAAATTGAGTGTGACTCACCTAACAACCGACACTGGTCCCAATTGTGGTCATACTGCACCCAGTTTTGGTCACCATAATGTAAAAAAGATGTTGAGACTCTAGAAAGAGTACAGAGAAGAGCAACAAAGATGATTAGGGGACTGGAGGCTAAAACATATAAGGAAAGGCTGCTAGAATTGGGTATGTCTAGTTTAATGAAGAGAAGGACGAGGGGGGACATGATAGCAGTATTCCAATATCTCAGGGGCTGCCACAAAGAAGAGGGAGTCCAGCTATTTTCCAAAGCACCTGAAGGCAGGACAAGAAGCAACGGGTGGAAACTAATCAAGGAGAGAAGCAACCTAGAACTAAGGAGAAACTTCCTGACAGTTAGAAAAATTAACCAGTGGAACAACCTGCTTCCAGAAGCGGTGAATGCTCAAATGCTGGAAGTTTTTAAGAAGAGACTGGACAGCCATTTGTCCAAAATGGTATAGGGTTACCTATACTTGATGACCTCCAAGGTCCCTTCCAACTTTATTATTATTATTATTGTTGTTGTGGTTGTTGTTGTTATTATTATTATTATTATATTGAGGACAAGACGTAGTGATCAGTTGCAACAGCTGATAGTTTCCCTTTGAAGCAGAGGTGGTTCTTGATTTATGTCCACAATTAAGCCCGAAATTTGGATTGCTAAACAACACAGTTGTTAAGTGAGTTTTGCCCCATTTTACAACTTTTCTAGCCACAACTGTCAAGCGAACCAATGCAGTTGTGAAGTTAGTAGCAACTTAGTAACAACAACTAAGTGAATGGCTTCCCTGTTGACTGAAGTTTGTCAGAAAGTTGCAAAAGGTGGTCACATGACTCTGGGACACTACATAAATACGAGCAAGCGTCCACATTTTGATCACATGACCATAGAGGTACTTCAAAGGTCATAAGCGTGAAAAACAATCCTTATTCACTTTTTTTCCATTGCTGTTGTAACTTCCAAATGAATGGCTGTAAAGTCGAGGACTATCTGTTCAGGATGAGGTCTCAATTATTCAACATTTGAATGGTTTCAGGCTCTGGTGACTTTTGAAGAGGTGTCCATGTATTTCTCAGAGGAAGAATGGAGACTCCTAGATGAATCTCAGAGGAAGATTTTCACAAAAGTGATGCTGGAGAATTATGAGAAGGTCCGAGCATTGGGTGAGAGTTGGACAGGACTGGGGAATTGTAACGGGCTGGGAGAATAAACCTGAGGGACAGTGCTTCTTAATCTTGACCACCTGGACTTCAACTCCCAGAATTCCCCAGCCAGAGAAATCTGAGTCCAAGGCAGGCATGGAGGTGGAGAAATTGACCCTTCCACATTCTCTGGAATGCCAAGTCAAGGAAGAGATGCTTTCACACTTGCAATATTCCGTTAGTATAACCTTACAATCACTATAAGCTTAGAACAGTATTAGTATTATTTTCCTGATCTGGACTGCTCTGAAGGGCTGTCAAAAAGAGACTTATGTTTTATATCAGGGGTCTTCAAACTGGGCCCTTTTACGACTTGTGGGAGTTGAAGTCCACAAGTTGTAAAAGGGCCAAGTTTGAAGACCCCTGTCTTATATAATGTTGTGGCCTAAACCTGGCTCACTTAATCAAATCACTTAGCAAATTAAGCATGCAAATACATTCAGAATATGCTTAGCTCTGCAAAGCTTTGCCTGTTTGGGGCCAGTTCTGAGCAAAAGCAGAACCAGAGCTTATATACTTTTGGTCTGTTATATTATCAAGACAAAACAAGACAAGATAGACACCATGCAAATTAGGCTGACTTTGGAAGGTTTTTGCTAAAGCCTTCCATGTAAACATATTTATCCTTTCCTACCAGGGTAGCATAGCAGTCATACGATCTCTGAGATATGGTTGGTGAATATATGACGTGTGTTGGGCTACCTTTTACCACCACAATAATAAAATCACTGAGCCGCAAACCATAGCCAGATAGCTTCTAAGGCAGAGTTCCCCAACCATTCCGGCTTTGCGGATGGGAGAGGGGGAGCCACAAAAGTGGCGGGCATGCGCATGAGCCCAGCTCCATTTGTGCGAGTGGTGGGCATGCACACCTGCTGCTTGCACGAATGGAGCAAGTGTGTACGTGCTCGCCCGCTGCTCGCAGAAGTGGAGATGTCTGCATGCTTGCCCGCCACCTCCGCAGCCCGGTTTCAAATGGCCCAAGGCCTGGTAGTGGCCTGGTAGTAGGTTGGGGACCCCTGTTCTAAGGGAGAAGCTGCTGATTGGTTCCTTCACCATAGGTTTGAGCCTATAGCTGTACATAGTGTGGCCACTGAAAATCAGAAGTTGGGTTTAACTTGTGCTGTTGAAACATTCTAACTCAGTGGTTCTCAACCTTTTTAATGCTGCGACCCCCAACTGGTCGTAAGTCAAAGACTACTCAACCGGTCGTAAGTCGAGGACTACTCAACTGGTACAGCACCGTTTGCAGAATGGGACTTTTGGCGGGCTCAGCAGGGCAGAGACAGCCTGGACAATTCCTATTGGCTTTTGAAAGCCAATAGAATTAGACTCTATTCAAGAGAGTCTATTCCAGTGTTTCTCAACCTTGGCAATTTTAAGGCATGTGGACTTCAACTCCCAGAATTCCACAGCCAGCATTGCTGGCTGTGGAATTCTGGGAGTTGAAGTCCACATGCCTTAAAATTGTCAAGGTTGAGAAACACTGGTCTGTTCTATTGGCTTTCAAAAGCCAATAGAATAAAAGGGAGTAGCACAGCTAAGGAAAAGGGGAAAAAAATGACGGACTGCGTTGTTTGGCAACCCCCATGAAATGGTCTTTCGACCCCAAATGGGGTTCCGACGCCAGGTTGAGAACCACTGTTCTAACTAGACAAGCAGGCAGGTTTGGGTTTTGGGTAAATTGTTCTCAGGTGCTCATCTTTAAGATGTTTTGCATTTTTTTTTTAAAAAAAATAACTTCCTCCCCCTCTTCCTTTTTTATTGATAGGATTTCCCACCTACAATCCAGATCTCATCTTGAAAATGGGGAGAAACGAGAACCAAGAACTGGAGAAGCACCAACCTCACCACCTTGCTGAAGGTGCATCTCCAGAAGTCACGGGTGAGGAAAAGTTTTATTCTGACTTGACTTGATTTACTGAGTTTCTCAACCCTGGAAAGCCTGTCCCATGGGGAGGTGTGCAGCAGCTACACGAGGGCGTGACATCTCTTCCGGGAAAGAAATCTTCAAAGGGGTTGATATTTATTTATTTAGTGCAGGGCTTTTCAACCTTTTCACCCATTGTGCCACTTTTAGGATATGGCAATATCCAAGTACCACCAGTCGCCTAGCAAGGTGTCAAAAACTTGATGACTCCCCCCCCCCCAAAAAAGGAAAAAAGTGATAACGTACAGGTAGTCCTCGACTTACAACAATTCACTTAGTGCCTGTTCGAAGTTACAATGGCACTGAAAAAGTGCCCCCCAAGTTACAGCCAAGCAAGACACCTGCCTGCCCACCTGGCAGCGCTCTTCCCCCTGTCCGAGGTTTTCATTGTTGTGAGCATTTCTGTTGAGGATTGGCAGCGGGGGTGGGGTGGGAGGTTGTTTGTTTTTTTATTCCCCCCCCATCTGCTGGGTGGTTGCAGCAGGTTTTGATCACTTCACATAACCCTGGGACACAATAAATATGAATCAGTTGCCAAGCATCTGAATGTAAACTACAAGACCCTGGAGATGCTGCAACATTCCAGCTGATGGGGGTTCTTCTGGATTCAGCAGAAGCACCAGGATCAGCGCCGAGCTCCAGCTGGAGCCTGGCGCTGATCCTGGCGCTTCCGCTGAGCCCTGGCAGCCCTACAGCTCCAGCCATCTCTCGCTCAGGCTTGTGCGGTGCTGCCACCGGTTCAGCTCATTCCCCTCCCTTGCTACTTTTCTAGGATGGTCGCATATCACCTGCCAGGTGCCAATGTAGCACAGGTGGTACCCATACCACTGGTTGAAAAGCCCTGATTTAGTGTATGGGATGAAGCAATTGGGTAAAATTATATAGAAGGAGCTCATAATGCTATGGTACACGTAGGATGGAAACATGGAGTCAATTTTGTAAGGTTTGAAGAATTCAAGAAGTTAGATGTAAGTTATAGATCACATCGCACTTGTGTCAGAAGCTCCGAGGTGCTTCTGGGTTGAAAGGATTAGCCGGTGACATCGCTGCTGCCCGGTGTGTGTGTGTGTGTGTGTGTGTGTGTGTGTGTGTGTGTGTAAATGCACACTTGGAGGCTCTTTTCATTTCTCCTGCAGGAGCTGGAGCAAAGGACTGGAGCTCATCCTACCCCAGATCTCGAACCCAGCATTTTAACCACGAGCGCAAATGTGCTCCTTTAGTTACAGATTACATTTTAAAATGTATAGCATAAGTGTTCTATATATTTTTATCTAGGCCAGTGGTTCTCAACCTGTGGGTCGGGACCCTATTTGGGGTCGAACGACCATTTCACGGGGGTCGCCAAACAACACAGTCGGCCATTTTTTCCCCCTTTTCCTTAGCTGTGCTACTCCCTCTTGAATAGAGTCTAATTCTATTGGCTTTCAAAAGCCAGTAGGAATTGTCCAGGCTGTCTCTGCCCTGCTGAGCCCGCCAAAAGTCCTATTCTGCAAACAGTGCTGCACCAGTTGAGTAGTCCTTGACTTACGACCTGCTGAGTAGTCCTCGACTTACGACCGATTGGGGGTCGCAGCATTAAAAAGGTTGAGAACCACTGATCTAGGCCATTTACCCAATTAAGCGCAGTTATTTGTTAGTTGGAGAAAGTCTGCTTTCCCTCAAATGGCAATAGTCATTGATAGTGATTGATATATTGTGGAGCCTGGGATAGTTTTTTTAATTAATGGTTTGCTATGGGCTGGGTTTTGCCCAACAGTGGAAGTAAATGCTGGTTTTCAGCAAAATCTCACTGGCTCAAGGTTGACTCAGCCTTCCATCCTTCTGAGGTAGGTAAAATGAGGACCCAGATTGTTGGGGGCAATGTAAATATATATATACATTGCTTACTGGTGTACACCGCTTAGAGAGTGCTTGCACTTAAAGCGGTATATAAATCTCATAAATAAATAAATAAATAAATAAATAAATAAATAAAACTGTTGTAAACCAAGGTCACGTGACCCCAAGGTGCTGCAAAGAGATGTCAGTGCAGCCTGGTTGCCAAGCACCCAGTTCAATCATGTGACTGCAAGGAGGGGTGACCGTCGGAATTGAGAATCCGAGTAGTAAGTAGTCTCTTGGTAGGTCTGTCATAACTTTGAATGGTCGCTAAGCAACCAGTCATAAGCTTGAGGACTACATGCATGTGAAGGCAGAGGTTTAGCAGGAATTAGTTTCGTGTTGACTGGAATTTCAGAGCCATGGAAAAGAACGGTGCTCCAGGTTGAATATACTTCTTACTTTTTTTTTTTTTTCCCTTTCCCCTTTAAAGGAGAGTTGGAGTTTTCAGATGAGAAGGGGGAGCTGGCCACCTGGAGGGAAGACATCCTGCTATCTGGGCCAACTTCTCCAAGGCCTTTCGACAGTTGTGATGCCACCGTCAAGGGCAGAAGGCAGAAGGCAAGGTCCCGTTGGCAGCAAACCGTGCCAAGCTTTGCATGCCCAGACTGTGGCAAGGCGTTCCTTTCCAAAGCGGACTTGGCTCGGCACCAGTGGTACCACTCCCAAAAGAAGCCCTACCAGTCCTTGAGCCGTCCCAAGAGCTTTGCCAAGCCCTCCCAACTGGCCCGGCACCAACCTCGTCAACCTGGAGAGTGTAAGTGCGCCAAGTGCGGGAAGCGCTTTAGGAATCGCAACGGCCTGGCGCGCCACCAAGCGATCCATTCGGCCAAGCGACCTTTCCACCGCCATGCTCACCACAGGGGCTTCTCCTTCAATTACAATCTGCGCCAGAACCAGAACCAGCAGGTACCTGCAGCCGAGCCCGTCTTTCACTGTCCTGAGTGTGGGAGGCAATTCACTCGCCGCTGTAACCTTATCCAGCATTCTCGGATACATCAATATCAGCGGCAGCCGCAAGGAAAGCAGGAGGTGGACCACTACCCTGGAGACCAAACCCAATGACGTGAGGGAGGGTCAGGTTGGGCACTGTGCACAGCAGCAGAGTTGGGGGGGGGGTCTCTGTTCTGGGAACCCTGAAAATAAAGAGGAGGTGGAACTTTGGCTAGGGGACAGGTGATGATGGCAGAATTTTTTTCTTCTTCTTCCTAACAATTTCCTCCAAGGGCAGGATCTGCTTCCCCCCCCCCCCAAATCAACTGAGTATTGATCTACTGGTTGTGATAGGAATTGACCGACTGGCTTGTCACCCGAGCCTGACATCGTAATAGTGATGATTGCAGATAGAATGAGAGATTTGATGGTGGAGATGATGGCCTTTGACTTGTCCAGGATGGAGAGCTGTTCCACCAGATCAGCTGGGTGGACTCTTCTAATCTGAATCTCCAACCCACCAGGGAGACTCTGCAGACGTTCAATAGGAATTCCAGCTTTTCTCAAGACCAGGCAATCCATATTGCAGAGCACCATGAAGCATGTTGAGAATGCTTGTTTGTCCAACCTAATGCTTGTGTTTTTGGCCAAACCCATACAGGTCTGGAATTGTCCCCAAAGTTTTGGGCAGTATTTGAACAATGACCCCAGAGAACTTAGAGGACCATTGATTCATTCCTATGGACAAATATCCGTTCTTGGGTAACAAATGTGAATACAGCTGCAGAGACTATTCTAGCATCGGCAGGACCAAAACCAATCCCAAGTTTTGGCATCTGCTTCTGAACAGAATACCTGTGTCTTCTCACCTGAACCCGTGACGACGATCTTGTTAATTCAGTGTTTCTCAACATTGGTGGCTTTTTAAGATGTGTGGACTTCAGCTCCCAGAATTTCCCAGCCAGCCTTTTAAAGCCTCGAGCTGGAGGTTGACACCAAGATTGAAAGCCATTGTTGTAACCTATCCTGACTGGTGAAAAAATCTGGGCAAGTTGGACTGCAGGAAGTCTTAGTTATAATGGGCTTCGGATACTTGACATGGATGGTCCAGGTCAGGGGTAGACAACCTTGACTCTTTTATGACTCGTGGACTTCAACTCCCAGAATTCCTGAGCCAGCATGGCTCAGCATGGAAACTCTCCCTTTCCCCTCAGCATGGCTAGCTCAGGAATTCTGGGAGTTGAAGTCCACAAGTCATAAAAGAGCCAAGGTTGCCTACCCCTGGGCTAGGTTGACCTAAGCCAATTTTGATTTGTGATGATTTGTGACTTTGACTGGAATGTGGGGTTGCTGACATTTTTTTTTAATTGCTACAGTGGAAATATTTATGTTTGGATTTGAGAAAGCATCGCTTCAATAGAAGCAAAATGGAAAAAGGAGATAGATAGGTAAAAAATCTAGATGGCCCCCACTTGTAATAATTTGTAAATAGTTTTCTCGTCCAAAGATTTATTCAGGTTCACTCTCAGAAATACAAGGAACAAACAGTGGTGCCAGATCTTGTTCTGATTTTGTTTGTCGTTCAGGCTTGGCTTTGCTTCCCATTCAAATGAAAAAGGGACACCCTGATTATACAACTTGCATTACCCATTTGTCTTCCATCAATTATCTTACGGTTATTTTCCCCCATCAGGATTGGAGGAAGTTGAAGGTTGTCATAGATCACCTCTAGAGCAAGGGTCCCCAATCCCCGGTCCGTGGACCAGGACTGGGCCACGGAATGCCAGCAATCGGTCTGCACAAACAAGCAAAGCCCCATCTGCAAGATGCAGGCAGCACACAAAATCACGCACCCTCCGATCCGTGGAAAAACCTTTCTCCACGGAACCGGTCCCTGGTGCCCAAAAGGTTGGGGGCCTCTGCTCTAGAGCTTGGTTGTCAATCCTGTCAAATGGAGAAAAGCACCAAGTTCCTATTGGCCATCTATGCATTCAATTGGAATATTCATAATGCCAGAGACTTTTCAGAGAGCCAGCATCAAATAAATATAGACTAAGCTTTACACTAATGTGTGGTCAGCATTTCATAACTGGACTGCAACATCCAGATGACTGCTAGATGGCAGCAAGAGTTTTCTGTATCTCCTTGTTGCCCTCTACTGCAGGTTTTTGCAGATCGAATAAGTCAGGGGTTCCCAACACTCGGTTTGCAGCCCAGTGCCGGGCTGCAGCTGATTCGGGACTGGGTTGCAGTGGTGGGCGAGCGAGTCTGTGCGCACACAAAGCTGCATTTATGAAAGTGGCACAAACGCACACGTGAAACTATCCCTTTACCTGCTCCTACCACCTCTGTTGGTCTGCCAAGCTGGAAAGCTCGGAAACTGCTGGAATAAGTTATGTGAACATGGATAAGTTCCACATACAAAATACTTCTCTGGTCAGGGGGGTCCTGATGCAGAATGCACATTGAGGAAGGCCTTTTTCTTTCCTGTTTGCAAAGACTGTACATCCATGCTGTTACTGTTCTCTCAAGGGTTGGGAAAATTGCAGGTTTTTCTATATATAGGAAAGTGGAGGAAAAGGGAGCATTTGTCTATGCAGTTCCACCCTTCCCCAACCACTGCCTGGTCTTTATTGAAATTAAGAGTTTTTGAAATCTATGAAAAAAGATAACCTACTGGAGGAGCTACCTACAGTAATATTTCTGTACTGCATAATCTTTTTCTCCAGCCTGCTTTCTCTGTTAGTGGAGCTAGAGATCATTAATGAAAAACTCCAATTATTCCCAGACTGGGCTTTATCTACTGTAAATTCTCTCCAGTTTTAGCCAAATGGAGAAGAATGTGAGTTTTGTGTCTTTTGAACAGTGATGTTTATGGGCTAGTTAATTATATAAAAGAAAAATAAAATCTATTTTTTTTTATTCGCTGCCGTGACTTTTCTGGAAGAAGCAGGAGGGCTAAGGCGGACCTATAACATAAAAGGATGAATTGTGGCACAATTCGTGACCCAATGTGCCGTTGCAGCCTCTAACCAGAAAGCTTGTAAGCCTGTGACCTCTTGCAAAACCTTTGGAGTCGGTTCTACTTAATGGCTATACCAGTGGTCTTTTATGACTGGAAAGAAACCAGTTCAAAATCTTGGGTTGGTTCACACATTTTGCAACCTCAGATTTGTGCAGGTGAGCATCTGTTTCAGCATCTGGATGGTGGGCATTGTTTAGCAGGAGGGCACAATTTGTGCTACATCAGAAAATCCACTAAAACAGGGTGACATCACAGCCTCTTCATCAACTCCTATTTGTAGTGGCTGTTGGAAGAATGTCAAGCAGAGGTCTCATCTAGTGATGATGGTCAGGGTGATACAATCCGTTCAATTGTGTCCAATTTTCTGTGATCCTCTAGATCAGTGGTGGCGAACCTATGGCACAGGTGCCAGAGGCGGCACTCAGAGCCCGCTCTGTGGGTACTCGCGCCGTCGCCCCAGTCCTAGGCCTTCAGCTGGGTTTTATAAAACTTTTTCACTTTAGGCCTCCGCCATGTGCAAAAAAAAAAAAAAAAAAAGGTTCAATCAGTCAATTTCAACTTCTCATGGAAAAAAAAAGATCTTGCAAAGCTGGAATTGATTGATTGAACTTTTTAGTCCCACCCAGCCTGCTGTTACCACCACAGCCATGCCCAGCCAGTGGGCCACACCCAGCCAATGGGCCACACCCAGCCAATGGGCCATACCCACCCGGCACTCGACGATGCATAAGTGGGTTTGGGGTTGCAGTTTGGGCACCCAGTCTCTAAAAGGTTCGCCATCACTGCCATAAATGCATCCTATATCCTGGAAAATGTTAGGGGATAGGGAAATGAAACGTATTTTTGCAAAAAGCTGGGGCTTGGAAATTCCTGGCATTGGTGTAAAGCAAAGTGCTTACCAACTAAAAATGTAATTAAATGCTCTTGAGGAGCGTGCTTATAGGTATGATTGTGTAATTACAAATTAGTTTCTTCATATAGCCTGGGGATAAATATTGCAAGCACAGCAGTTTTTAACACTCGAAATGGAAAAATGTAAGCAGTGCTATAGCATGTTGATCAAATTATAAAAATAGGTTTTGCCCATGGATAAACTAGAGGAGAAGCAGGCTGAAAGGCTAACCCCAACCATTAAGTTTAAATGTAGTTTATTTTGGTGTGATTTTTTTTTCCCCAACAAACAAGGCAGATTCAACAGATACTGTTCCAGGAAAGCATCTATGCTTCTCCAGCTCTGACATCTGTGATAGCAGCCAGAAATACAACAGGGGTATCTTTTTCCAGCCCAGCAACATTGATTTGGTTCTGCTCTATAAATTTCTTCTGATAGTTAGGCAACAAGAATAGTCAATTGCAAAAGGCATCTTGGAACAGCTTAGAATAGATCCTTCAATGATACCTTTAAACAATAACTGCCTATTCTTGGTCATTGAGAAGGACTTGATTGATGGACAAAAATGCCAAATCCAATCTAAAAATATGGCTGTGTGATCAACATAAGGGCCTATACAAGTTATAGGCCTTATAGTCACAGAAAAGAACAGGGATGAGATCCAGAACTCTTATACATTTAGTCGATAAATCATATGCTTGCAAAAATATAGGCCCAATATCCTTTATGTTTCTGCTAAATAACAGTCGCACACGTAAACGTGATAAATATGGTTCCACAAAACAGTGACAACACCGAACTTCCAGTTTTATGATTATTGTAAACTTGTTTATTTACCAATATTTTATTCTTCACCCACTCTCTTCAGTTTTTTCTCTTCTTTTTGCAGCCAATGATTTTGTTCCTTCAGTCTTTTTATAAATAATACCTGGTTTGTGCTTTATTGCACAGCAGCTGGAAATTCTAGGTCCATACACTACTCTGAAAATAAAAAATAAATATTTGAAAGAAAATTAAAGCAAGTGTCATTTATAGAAAACTACAAGTCGGCATCCAGAGAGTTAGGAGGGATCAAGTTTGTCTTAAAGGAGACTTAGTGGTCTAGCACAGTGTTTTCAACTTTGGCAACTTTAAGATGTAGCGATTTCAACTCCTAGAATTCCGTCGGTCTAGTTTGTTCCAGGATCTCCTGGTGGTCTTCCATCCAAATATTA